CAGCGGCACCAGGAGACACCAGCACCACTACAGTAGCACCAGGAGACACCAGCACCACTACAGCACCAGGAGGCACCAGCACGAGAAGACACCAGCACCACAGCAATACCCAGGAGGCACCAGCACCACTACAGCAGCACGAGAAGACACCAGCACACCACTACAGCAGCGCCAGGACACATCAGTACCACTACAGCAGCACCAGGAGACACCAGCACCACTACAGCAGCACCAGGAGGCACCAGCACCACTACAGTAGCACCAGAAGACACCAGCACCACTACAGCAGCACCAGGAGACACCAGCACCACTACAGTAGCACCAGGACACTCCAGCACCACTGCAGCAGCACGAGAAGACACCAGCACCACTACAGCAGCACCAAGACGCCAGCACCACTCAGAGTAGCACCAGAGGCACCAGCACCACTACAGCAGCACCAGGACACACCAGACACCACTACAGCAGCACCAGGAGGCACCAGCACCACTACAGCAGCAGCACCAGAGACACCAGCACCACTACAGCAGCACCAGGAGACACCAGCACCACCAGGAGACACCAGATCCACTACAGCAGCACCAGGACACCCAGCACCACTCAGAGTAGCACCAGGAGACACCAGCACCACCAGGAGACACCAGCACCACTACAGCAGCCCAGGAGACACCAGCACCACTACAGCAGCACCAGGAGCACACCAGCACCACTACAGCAGCACCAAGACACTCCAGCACCACTACAGCAGCACCAAGACACCCAGCACCACTAGAGTAGCACCAGGAGACACCAGCACCACCAGGAGACACCAGCACCACTACAGCAGCACCAGGACACCCAGCACCACTACAGCAGCACGAGAAGACACCAGCACCACTACAGCAGCACCAAGACACCAGCACCACTCAGAGTACCACCGGAGACACCAGCACCACTAAGACACCAGCACCACTACAGCAGCACGAGAAGACACCAGCACCACTACAGCAGCACCAAGACACCAGCACCACTAGAGTACCACCAGGAGACACCAGCACCACTACGAGCACCAAGACACCAGCACCACTAGAGTACCACCAGGAGACACCAGCACCACTACAGCAGCACCAAGACACCAGCACCACTAGAGTACCACCAGGAGACACCAGCACCACTAAGCAGCACGAGAAGACACAAGCACCACTACAGCAGCACCAAGACACCAGCATCACCAGAGTAGCACCAGAGACACCAGCACCACCAGGAGACACCAGCACCACTACAGCAGCACCAAGACACCAGCACCACTACAGCAGCACTAGCAGATATCAGCACCACTACACCAGCACCAGGAGACACCAGCACCACTACAGTAGCACCAGGACACACCAGCACCACTACAGTAGCACCAGGAGACACCAGCACCACTACAGTAGCACCAGGACACACCAGCACCACTACAGTAGCACCAGAAGACACCAGCACCATTACAGTAGCACCAGAAGACACCAGCACCATTACAGTAGCACCAGGAGACACCAGCACCACTACAGTAGCACCAGGACACACCAGCACCACTACAGTAGCACCAGAAGACACCAGCACCATTACATAGCACCAGAAGACACCAGTACCACTACAGTAGCACCAGGAGACACCAGCACCACTACGCAGCAGCACCAGAAGACACCAGCACCATTACAGTAGCACCAGGACACACCAGCACCACCACACAGCACCAGGAGACACCAGCACCAAGGTAGCACCAGGGACACACCAGCACCACTGCAGAGCACCAGGACACACCAGCACCACCACAGTAGCACCAGGAGACACCAGCACCACTACAGCACCAGAAGACACCAGCACCACACAGCAGCACCAGGAGACACCAGCACCATTACAGTAGCACCAAGACACCAGCACCACTACAGTAGCACCAGGACACACCCAGCACCACTGCAGTAGCACCAGGACACACCAGCACCACTACAGTAGCACCAGGAGACACCAGCACCACTACAGTAGCACCAGAAGACACCAGCACCATTACAGTAGCACCAGGAGACACCAGCACCATTACAGTAGCACCAGAAGACACCAGCACCACTACAGTAGCACCAGGACACACCAGCACCACTACAGTAGCACCAGGACACACCAGCACCACTACAGTAGCACCAGAAGACACCAGCACCCTTACAGTAGCACCAGGAGACACCAGCACCACTACAGTAGCACCAGAAGACACCAGCACCACACAGTAGCACCAGGAGACACCAGCACCACTACAGTAGCACCAGAACACACCAGCACCACTACAGTAGCACCAGGACACACCAGTACCACTACAGTAGCACCAGGACACACCACACCACACAGCAGCACCAGGACACACCAGCACCACCAGAGCACCAGGACACACCAGCACCACTACAGAAACCAGGAGACACCAGCACCACTACAGTAGCACCAGGACACACCAGTACCACACAGAGCACCAAGACACCAGCCCACACAGCACCAGGACACACCAGCACCACTACAGTAGCACCAGGACACACCAGCACCACAGGCACCAGAAGACACCAGCACCATTACAGTAGCACCAGGAGACACCAGCACCACTACAGTAGCACCAGAAGACACCAGCACCAATACAGTAGCACCAGGAGACACCAGCACACACAGCAGCACCAGGACACACCAGTACCACCTGCAGCACCAGGAGACACCAGCACCACTACAGTAGCACCAGGACACACCAGCACCACTACAGTAGCACCAGGACACACCAGCACCACTACAGTAGCACCAGAAGACACCAGCACCATTACAGTAGCACCAGGAGACACCAGCACCACTACAGTAGCACCAGAAGACACCAGCACCATTACAGTAGCACCAGGAGACACCAGCACCACTACAGTAGCACCAGAAGACACCAGCACCATTACAGTAGCACCAGGACACACCAGTACCACTACAGTAGCACCAGGACACACCAGCACCACTGCAGTAGCACCAGGAGACACCAGCACCACACAGTAGCACCAGGAGACACCAGCACCACTACAGTAGCACCAGAAGACACCAGCACCATTACAGTAGCACCAGGACACACCAGTACCACTCACAGTAGCACCAGGACACACCAGCACCACTGCAGTAGCACCAGAAGACACCAGCACCATTACAGTAGCACCAGGAGACACCAGCACCACTACAGTAGCACAGACACCAGCACCATTACAGTAGCACCAGGACACACCAGTACCACTACAGTAGCACCAGAAGACACCAGCACCATTACAGTAGCACCAGGAGACACCAGCACCACTACAGTAGCACCAGAAGACACCAGCACCATTACAGTAGCACCAGGACACACCAGTCACACAGTAGCACCAGGACACAGCACCACGCAGTAGCACCAGGAGACACCAGTACTACAGTAGCACCAGGACACACCAGCACCACTCAGCAGCACCAGGAGACACCAGTACCACTACAGTAGCACCAGGACACACCAGTACCACTACAGTAGCACCAGGACACACCAGCACCACTGCAGTAGCACCAGGACACACCAGCACCACTACAGTAGCACCAGACACACCAGCACCATTTCAGTAGCACCAGGAGACACTAGCACCACTACAGTAGCACCAGGACACACCAGCACCACTACAGTAGCACCAGGAGAAACCAGCACCACTACAGTAGCACCAGGACACACCAGCACCACTACAGTAGCACCAAAGACACCAGCACCACTACAGTAGCACCAGAAGACACCAGCACCGCTACAGCAGCAGCTTTTATTTTGTGGTTAACTCTTCATACCTTCTGTAGACGTAGCCTCTCCCGGAACGCTTGCTGTAGTCACCCCGTGACCTGTTTTTTGTACGTCTTCCACTATTTTGGTAACTCCGATGTAATCTTAGAACCATTAGTGTAGCCCTGGGACCACTACAGTACTCACAGAACCATTAGTGTAGTCCTGGGACCACTACAGTACTCATAGAACCATTTGTGTAGCCCTGGGACCACTACAGTACTCATAGAACCATTTGTGTAGCCCTGGGACCACTACAATACTCATAGAACCATTAGTGTAGCCCTGGGACCACTACAGTACTCATAGAACCATTAGTGTTGCCGTAGGATCGTCTGTTGAAGGATTCTTTAGACGAAGCTTACGAAGGCCGTCTCAAAGGCTGGTCGCGGCCCAAATCAGTCCCACGTACCGAGTCAATGTTAGCAGGATGAGGAACTGATGGCAAGTTTACCGTATCATCAACCCGCCTCAAAATGTCCGCCTGCCGAAGGAAACTGTCCCTTTTCAAACAGAAAATAAGAAATAAAACAGGAAAATTCACCTTCTGTCCTCTTGTGGGCGTAGGAGGATAAGTATCTGGCGAAGGGTGAAACACGAAAAAGAAACAGCGAAATGATCAAAATGGTGGAGGGAGCCGATGCAAGATAACTCTCACAAAAGCATTGCCACATAACACCACAAGGACAGGTTGGGTACACAAGGGGAAGGGGCTTTACTGATATGGTTTAGAGCTGTGCGGGTATCAGGAGGGGACAGGATATAAGGCGGGTAGTAGGGAGAGGAAAAGTCCAAGTGTAAACTGTTGAGAGCATCATAGTGGTGGTGGGGAGAGGGGCGGCCAGACCTCTCACTCAGCCCAGCCTCCAACAGCGTATTGATCCACGCGCCCCAGATAAACACACGCCCGCCCGCGCCCACCCCGCCCGTGCTACATGCTGGCTACTCACTGGATGTAGTCTACACTATGGGCTATAGGCACGAACACCCACAACAACACGGCAACACACAGGAAACACCTCACACGGAACCAGGAGACAACTTGAAGCACCGCCACCTGGGTGAGAGAGACCTTCATCGTCCATCAGGTGCGCATCTTGTTACCACCCTCGCCAATACGTCCCTATGGCCCTCGAGTCCTCCAGTAGCGAGTGTTTAAGAGAGGTGGACAGGCTGCACGTACCTGGGCACCGGCAGATGACATGGTGGGCGAGAACCTGGCCACACGAGGTATATGTCGCCCGGGTTATAGAGGAGGGTTCCGCGGGCGCTCTCAGCCGGAGACTGAAGCCTCGCCCGCTAGGTGGCCGTCGCTGCTCCAACACCCGGCGCACCCCCCCAGCGGCCCTGTCCCCGTCCCTGCCACTACTTGCCCTGCCTGCCAACCCGCCCCAGCCCTGTTACTACTCTCCCAGCCCCTGCAACTACCCGCCACCACCGCCCAAACTCACCATTAACCGCCCCAGCCCACACACAACCCCAACGCAGTCATTACTCACCCTCAGTACCAACCCCAACCCCGTCATTCCCACCCCAGCCCCGCATTACCCACCCCAGCCCCTGTCATTACCCACCCCAGCCCCTGGTCATTACCCACCCCAGCCCCTGTCATTACCCACACCCCAGCCCCGTCATTCCCATCCCCAGCCCAGTCATTCCCACCCCAGCCCCGTCATTAACCAACCCAACAGCCTCTGCCACAACAACCCCCATCACCCACAGGTTTCTTTTCGTTCCAGCAGTTCTCACTGTCTCCGAGAACGATGAGGATGGATTCAAACTAGTATTCTCAAATGACGTTTCTTCTCACCTAGACACAAGCCTCCCTCGCTCCCCACCACAGCCGCACTCATACAATGTCATTCCCACCACTGCTGATTACAGACCTGTCCGCCCTTCAGCAGCTCTCAGGAGAAGGCCCCAAGAAAACTAATAGAAACCCCTTCAGCAGTTTCCCTGACCCCTATCTGTGGCCTAGTGCAGCCATCTCGACAACACTTCAGTTCCCGTAAACATATTAATGGCCTTCTTGGTAATTGCACTCTGAACTTCACCAAGACTGCCGCTGTCAACCTACCTCACCCGACCTTCAGAAATTCTGTTCCTTTTGTCACCCAATTTAACATCACTCCCCAAGACTCAATTACTGGTAGAACGTCACTTGCATGATTGCAGTTCTGTTGATGTTGTTACGGACTGGTAGTCCTAGATTGTATCAAACCATAGCTCACCACCCCGGTAACATTAAAAATAACAAGGTCGCCAATGAAATTAATAAATGAAAGGAATAAGCAATACAATTGAGTAAATGAAAATACAAGTTAATTTAACAAAAACAAAGCATCTGCCAAGAACAAAAACATGAATCAAAAGATAAGTTTGCAAATAATAACCGATTTGGGAATAGTCACAACTCAGTAGACAAACAAGTTACGTTAATCAGTGACGAGCAAATAATAACGAGGGTTGGAGCACACCAATCATTGCGAAGATGATTATATAACGTCATCGTTCATTTACCAGTATAATGTTACGATATTTCAAGCCTAGTACACAATATTACATCCTACACACAATATTACATCCTATATACAGAAAATATTACATCCTATTCTTCTTCCACTTTCCTTGACTCACACTCTCTCAACAATATAATGTATACTCAAGTTAATGTCTTTCCTATGTGTTGAACTCCTTCCACCGTTTCCACCTTCCTCAGCCACGTCAAACCTGCTAACTGCTTCTCCTCCTGTCCAGTGTACGATGGTCACCACATCACATTTTGGCGGGAATCTATAACCAATCAGGCATTAGTTTTCCAGTGGCCCCATGAAACGTCACCTCTGACATTTCAGCTGGCTTCACACGCCCCATGCCCACGTGGTCTAGCTATGGTTTGTGGTTGTTGCGGTGGTTTCTAATTGGTCCTTTCTACTCCTGGGACTCAACGCCACGTCACACCTCCGCCTCTAAGGAAGAATACGACAGAGGAGTATTCAGAGTCGATTCCTACAGCAAGAGATGGCGCAGTCTTGACAGGTACAGGTTCACTCAGCAACTTGTCCACACATGTCCCTGAGCAGTCGGTACACCAATTCCATCAGTAATAATTTCAGCACTTGGCAACGGTAGGTAGGTCCCAGGAGCGTCCTTGTGCAACCCACCAGGAGATCCAGCCACGTCACAATGTTATCACCTTACTGGCACCTGCTGATGATGTTATCACCTTACTGACACCTGCTGATGATGTTATCACCTTACTGACACCTGCTGATGATGTTATCACCTTACTGACACCTGCTGATGATGTTATCACCTTACTGACACCTGCTGATGATGTTATCACCTTACTGACACCTGCTGATGATGTTAACACCTTACTGACACCTGCTGATGATGTTATCACCTTACTGACACCTGCTGATGATGTTAACACCTTACTGACACCTGCTGATGATGTTATCACCTTACTGACACCTGCTGATGATGTTATGATCATTCTGGCCTCTGCCCAAATTGTTGCAAAAGAGTTCAATCTACTCTAGTCTATATAACAAGCTGCCAGCCCCGTCATTACCCATCCCAGCACCACCATTACTCATCCCAGCACCACCATTACTCCAACCCAGCCCCGCCATTACCCATCCCAGCCCCTGCCATTACCCATCCCAGCCCCGCCATTACCCATCCCAGCACCACCCATTACTCATACCAGCACCACCACACCACCCAGCACCAATTATTACCCACCCCAGCACCAATATTACCCATCCCAGCACCACCATTACCCACCCCAGCCCTGCCATTACCCATCCCAGCACCACCATTACTATACCAGCACCACCATTACCCACCCCAGCCCCTGCCATACCCATCCCAGCCCCGCCATTACCCATCCCAGCACCACCATTACTATACCAGCACCACCATTACCCACCCCAGCCTGCCATTACCCATCCCAGCCCCGCCATTACCCATCCCAGCCCTGCCATTACCCACCCCAGCACCACCATTACCCAACCCCCCGCCATTACCCATCCCAGCACCACCATTACCCATCCCGCCCCGCCATTACCCATCCCAGCACCACCATTACCCATCCCAGCCCCGCCATTACCCATCCCAGCACCACCATTACTCATACCAGCACCACCATTACTCATCCCAGCACCACCATTACCCACCCCAGCACCACCATTACCCATCCCAGCCCTGCCATTACTCCTCCCAGCACCACCATTACCCACCCCAGTTCCTATCTTATTATTACTAAAGGTAATGACTGATTGGTTATGACAAAGTATAACCAATAACTTAGATGGATGTTGGATATTAATGGAATTAATTAAATCATCATTTATTAAGTATAAGTCACATGGAATGTCGGGCGGTGGATGGAATTTCTACATAGATAACAGTGGGAACATTCTGATATGTTCTTATTGCCACCATGCTGTGTACTATTCCAGAGATATACTAAATGTTACATAATACTCCCTTGAGATAAATGTACAGTATTTATAAGGTGCCTTCAAGAAAGCTCAGGCTCTCAACTGGCTTAGCCATGTTAATATTGTTATTATTATCGACTCTGTATCTGTGTTCTTCTGGCTAAATAACTGTTTCAATATCAATAATCTCCTGTAAGTAACCAGTGTGAAGGTATCTAACGCTACGGTAAGAAATTAAGAAGCACATAGTATTCATATATCAATCCCCAAACCGAACGTAAAAATAAATAATTCCGTGACAAAGGGGATATATTATTGTATTCTCAGATGGCAATACAGTACTTGTACAGTAGTCGAGAAAGCTGACATGACAGTGAGTGGTAGAGCAAGTCTTCATGTTGCTAAACTGCTGAAGATCTAAGGCACCTGCAATATCAGCAAAGGGCCAGTCAAAAATGAAACACAGATTGAGCTGGGTATTGGGGTGATGACAATGGGTCGTAACTCTTTAAAGGTTTGTGGGCTGGTTGACTTGGGCACTTGTGACACATATAAGGTCTTCCAGTCAGCTGGGCATCTTGCTTGATTGATGGAGCAGAGGGGTTTAGCTAGTTCTGGGAATAGAGCTTTATCTTCAGTTTGTCCAAATGTTTTGCTACTTCAAATTCTTCAACTAATTCAGTAGGAGAAGGGGCTGGTAGGTAAGCCGGGGGAGCGTCTGCATATATGTACTGTAGTTGCGAAATGGTTGTTTGATTGCTCAGCTGCGTCACCATTAGTGAGATGGCTAAGGAAGGGGAGGGGGGGTGTGTCTTATTGTTTAGTCCACAGAGTTAGTTCTTTAAGTTTACCATACCACTGACTGATGTTGGTCTGCTTCAGGTGTTGCAGCTTGGTTGGGTAGAGGGACTAATTTGCAGTGTGTATTCCACTGATGATCTGGTTGTGAAGGAACAAGTAGCGGTTGTTGTCATTGGGATAAAAGGTGCTGTTTCTCTGCAGCACAAATCTTTTGATCTAAGGTGTGATTCAGGGCAAATCAGCTGGGTGTAATCTGACAGTGGTGAGCTTCTGTGGTGGTGTTGTATGTATGTGTGAAGACCTGTAATGTGAAGCAACAGAGACAGACAGAAAAGAAAGGGAGTGTGTGTGTTTGTCCTTAACTACCAGCATGGCTGGCACTGTACTGTATTACCAAGGAAGAAATCTTACGAAAATCTTGGGGGTCTTGATATGCATCTGTGTTAAAAGGTAATGAAGAAAAGCACAGAGTACAAAAGATTTAATTTATTGCTTAAGTTACCATAATTTACAAAATCTTAGAAGAGAGATAAAATCATTCCTGAAAATACAGAACAGTTATGAGGGATCAAATGAAAAAAAAAATACTTGTTAATAATCTTATTTACACACAATTATCTTATATTTGATATGAGAATTACAAACTCTTTTTTCAAAATATATTGCATAATACGCTATCCACAAAAACACTTATTTTGTGGGGGTCCTCGCTTTATGTTGTACCGATATATGTTGTGTGCATCTTCCACTGTTTTATACCAAGTCTGTGTATACATGAATATGGAACATAAATAGTTTCTACCACCCCAAAAGAGATATAAAAGTGTAAGGGTATATTGTGTGTGAGAGAATATAGCTGTGAGAAGGCTGTGCTCGTACTTGTTACAAAAGAAACCATAAAAGTCATGGAAATATCATTTCAAACATGTTATGAGATTTAGAACTAAAGAAAAGAAAAATTATGAAAATTAAGAGTGGGAAGTCAATTGTGTCGGAGGTAGGGTGAGGCTGTCACTGCTCAAGATGGTTGGTGCTTATCACAAAAAATGTCTTAATAAATAAAATTTCAGTACAGTGGTCCCTTGGTTAACGAACACAATTCGTTCCAGAGGGTCGTTCGTTAACCGAATCCATTGTTTCAATGGGATATTGGGTAATTGGTTCCAGCTAACAGAAAAGTACATACAAAGTAAAAAAAAATGCAGTAAAGTACACTTACTTTGAGGTGTGTATGTAGAGGGTTCCTGGTTGATGATGATGATGATGGGAATTAGAAGTGTGGATGGAGGAGAAGGGAGAAGAGAAGAAAGTGGGGATGGAGGAGAAATCACCTTTCAGGGGACCCATGCTTGATGCGGTCATTTCACCAATAAAATTATAAGTTCACTAAGTGTAATTCAAGATTATTTTATTTAAATCAACACACTGCACTATATATATTATCAATATGTTAACTAAATTTCAGAATGACCAATAATTTTAATGTAAAAATGCAAAAATATTCAAGACACCAACAAAATCGATGTTCACTCCACTGTTTTCAAAGCCAAACTGACGCCTGGTGGCTGAGTCAAGCGGCTGATGGGCACACAAAAAACAGTTCCCTGTACTGCATATATTATCAATATGTTAACAAAATTTTAAAATGACTCATAATTTTAATATAAAAAATGCAAAAATATTAAAGAGCTCAACTTTCTTGATATTTACTCCACTGGAAACAAATGTAAACATAGAACAGATTACTGTATTGGCAGACTAGCCCATCAGCTGATGCTCACAACAAAACGTGTTGTTTGTAAGGATTTCGTTAATCGAATTTTTGTTCGTTAACCGAATTGAAGATCCTTATGGAAGGTAATTTGAATTTATACATTATTCAGCTGTCTAAGTGTACAAGTAGCCATAGAGAGCCATCATACTGTATATCACTCAAAGGTAACAAATTATGTTGTTAGGAATGTATCTCCATATCAAATACTATACTGTACAGTATAGTATGTTATAATGACCCTATTGTAAGTTGATTTGCTGAGCTTTTAAGGGAAAAAATTCACCATAAGTCACTTTTCTCTGGTACACACCCTTGTCATATAATGAGGACCCCCTGTACATGAGTGTGCTGTGCTCTGGTATCATACAGACCTTCAAGAACCTGTATCTGGCACAACTTTCCTCATGACATTTTCTAAGTCTTAGTCTGCAAACTTTTGAACTAGCTTTTACTTACAAAAACCTGGGAAAAATAATAAATGTTTTATTAAAACTACAGTCAGTCCCCGACTTACGATGGGGTTAGGGACCGATGACCAAGTCGTAGGTCGAAAATGCGAAAATAATACATAGAAAATCTAAAATGGGTGTCTCTTTTTCTTCTCAGCACCACGAGAACTCTCACTTTTACGCTTGCCAGCCATTTTAAAGGGAATTACAAACGAAGTTTTGTCAGTACACAGCGCGATCACTAACGTCGGGACTCGAAAATTTCGTAACTTGAAAAAAAATTTGTACGACTGCGGCGGTTGTATGTCCGGGTGGTCATAAGTCGAGGAGTACCTGTAGTTGCCCACAACTAGTGAGTGCACAGCTCTTTTATGTGTTTCAGTCAAGACACAGAACTAACCCTTCGTTTTTTCTGAACCACTCAAGTGTGTGAGCTAAAGCTAACATATTCAACACCTTTTCCCATGCTTTGTAGAGTAGTGACTCTCCGGACAACCTATCTTACCTGGACCAGCTTAACACAACACAGTATAATAACACCAGTATATCCTGCCCACCCATAGAAGTGAACCTGCATCTCATGGGCTGGGAGTCCTGACCAGCTAACTGAGACAATCAGTCACCAAGTACTGTACTGTATGATGATAATTCCTTACGTCCTCCATACCTATATCATTTTCACAAACTTGAAGGCCACTTGGTAATAAATGAGCTTCCTTCTCAGTCCTTTCTCTTTACTATAAAGTTGAAATCTTGTTTCAGTGAAGGTGACAAATGGTGGACTTGACAACAAAAAGTTTCTACCTCTACTGCTGCTGGGCTTGACTCTGTGTGATGTAGACTGGCTGACCTCCACTCTGTAAACATAACACAATGCTGTAAAACCAACAAATACACAGCCCAAATGTGTCAAACTGATTTTAAATTAACACATGTTGTAGTGTTTTAAGGGAATTTATACGTTGTAACTGCATCGACTCCTGAGGTGACTGAGACCAATGGGTAAACAGATGCCAGTTATAACCAGAAACAGCAAATAATTGAGATACAGTATATGGAAAAGTAGACAGTAACGGCAGTTAGACACATCCTTTACTGCCCAACACAACATCTTAAGAATATACCCCATCTGGCAGGGGCTGGGTGAAACTGCACCCATCTTGCTATGTATCACACTGACTGGCAAATATTAAAAGCAAAGGGAGTAATGCAGGTACTCGCAATGAATCAAACACGACGAATAAATCATGAACAATTGCAACTCTACTATATAGCTATGTATGCAGTATATAGTAGGGTTGCGATTTCTCACCTTGCCTAATACTCTTTTTGGTACTCACCTCGATAGTACTCATCTCATTTAGTACTCACTTCAGTTAATACTCACCTCGATAGTACTCAACCCAATACAGTACTCATCTCATTTAGTACTCTTCTTGGTACTCACTTCAGTTAATACTCCCCTCAATAATACTCCTCTCGGTACTGTACTCACCTGTTGAAGCTGAATAATCTGAGGTTGGGTGGTGACGACAGCCTGTGCCTGCTGCGTCACTGCTTGTATGGGCGCCGTCTGGATGATTATTGGCTGCTGGGTGGCACCTGACATTTGCAACTTAATCATCTGCAGCTGCTGTGGCGTCAACTGGATCTGACACAAACAAGGATGGATCAGTGACGTCTGTTCATTACAGTATATACAAAGGAAAAAAAAAATTGTCTCAGAAAAATTCATACAAGTTGCCTTACAGATTTTTGTGCCAATTGTGTGATTGTTTGTGTTATATTGGCACATTGTTCTCACTACACTGTCCTCACTTGTTGATGTATGAGGTCTCCCACAAGTGAGGATAATGTTGCTCTCTAGTAAAGCAAGAATTACACGTGATCTCTGTGAAACAACCTGTACATACCATTGTTGTGTGTGTGTACTGTAAATAAAAGTAAGACCTCACTTTATAGGACTAATCGGGGGGAATGACGGTCCGATAAAGCCATTTTGCCGATCGACCCAATTCTGCAGCTTCTACCAGAGATGCACTGTAGGAGGTAGTCCAAAATATAAGAAGAAAAATGAATGAAAAAAGAAGGATGAGGAGGAGGAGGAGGAGGAGTCAACCACATTAACCTCATGTGTATAAGGAGTCCCTGTGTATTAAAATAATCAGGTGTTAGCCAAATAAAATATTAAAAGTGGTGTCCTGTAGTGAAGGGGTCATTTTCTCTAATTTTCGTCATCTCATTCAATTACTGAAAAATATGTATAATGTACTGTACGTATCTCTTCATGGCCAGAATTATACCAAGCTGCCTTCACAAAACCAAGATTTCCATCATTCATGTAGGCTAATTCTTACACTCGTAATGCACTATTATTGTTGATCATGAATGAATTAAAAATAAGGTTACTGTACCCAACAAGAAGTGTTCATGTAAGTATCCATAATTCATAAGACAAACATTAAAAAAGGAAATTACAAAATAAACTGAACACAAATTACCCTTATTTCAAAGTATTGTTTAGTGAACTACAGTACAGTACACAGCTTTTTACTGAAGTCATAATATGAAATTGTGTACTGTACTGTACTACATTTATATTTTGACCCAAAAAACATTTTAAAGTTACTGAACGAAAATGACTTTTCATAAAGATGTAATGATAAGGGTAATAATTTCCTCTACTGATAATGGAGGTGCTGTAAGGTATTAAAACACAGAGTTTCTTAGTGTGAACAACGTTACAAACATAGATTAAATGAAATGTTCATCTGACTTACAGGAATTTGTTGAACTTGTCCATCAGGTCCAATAATCTGCTGAATTATTTGTATGCCGCCGCTGGCAGTCTGCTGCGTTTGTGCCGCCTGACTCTGTTGAGCCTGAGGTTGTAGCTGGATGATTTGTGGCGCCGGTTGGGTCTGTGTTGTTGATGCTACGTTGGTCCCCGCTGTCTGTGGGAACATAGCAACAGCTGTGCACAATAACCTCAACACTTTACACTCCATCAAATTATTTAAACATCTCTATCATGTACGTCTTCTCCTGCACTCACAACATCCTACAACAAAAATTTTGAACAACAAATTACATAACCCCAGGCACCAAGGACCCAACACCAGTGTTTAAAATAGGTACAAAAACATCTCTATTTACATGAAATATAAGGACCATCTGAAGAATTTCCACCCCTACGATAAATATCACTATACTTATCCTAATATCAATTAACCCCCAACGATCTATCTTCAAAAAGGATAGACCTATTGCCCTCATCCCATGTGCACACAATATACATCTCTATAAGATACTCAAGAGACTCGTACTTAAAAAAATATCAACGCACACACTCCTTTACCTCCCTCACAACACCAACACCTTGCCTCATAATCTCTCTACCCAACAAAGAATTCACCCTGGAGAGTGGCACCCTCCCTCCCTCCCCTCCCAAACATCATAGTTCTTGTTGCAACAGACACCAACAAAGCCTTCAGTACTATCATAAGTCACATCCTCATTAACAATATTATAAAATGAACAAGATATGACTAATTACAGAAGAATTTTCGGGTCGCTAACACTCGGGTGAGGAATGTAGAATTGTTTATCCGGCTCTGGCGTCTTCCACTCCCATCACTCAACACAATACTGTACTACTATTCTTGACTTGTACTGAACAAGTGTGAATGACAGTGAACTAATATGGTAACTATACACTATATCAGCCATATACTGACCTGTATTGAAGATGTCTGTCCTCCAGTATGAAGTATCTGTATGGTCTGGGGCTGTAAAGAAGTCGGCTGCACCGAGTTTTGTGAGTTGGTGTTGCTACTGTTTGCTGTGGACTGCTGCAGCACAGTCTGGTAGTGCTGTGCAATTTGGAAGTAGTGCTGAAGACGAAAAGCATCTTAGTCATTTTGTGGTCACTAAAATATAATAACCCCTTCACGATGGAGACGTCACTATTTTATACTTTATTTGGCCAATGCTAGATGATATTAATCAGAAAAGAGGTGACCCCATACATAAGGGGTTAGTAGATTACTATTTTCACAAACTCTTTCACTACGAGACACCACCTTTGATAATTTATTTGGCTAACACCAGACGATTTTATTCAGCTCTGAAGTTTGGAAACAATAGGCAGACTATTTATATTGTACTGAAGAATATAATATAAAGTATGGAAAATTGTGCTCTTAGCTTGAAGATGTGGTCTCAAGAGTGAAATATATTGCATACAAACTTTTATTACATGTATGTACTAATAAAGTTCAGCATAGCGGCAGGTCGAGATGGTTTGGGAGTGTGGGGTGAATGGCCGAGACCAAATGTGGAGGAGATGGGAGGAGAGCCGGGGTAGACCAAGAATGACATGGAGAGTGTAAGAAATGACCTGATGAGAGAGGCTGCAAAAGATTATGCAGCATGGAAAGCTGCCACCAGGTAATCACGGCTAACCTATACAAGCGTGGAAAATGGCCGTAAGATGATGATGTGTCGACTGGCTGATGAGTGTGACTAAATACATGTATAATTACAAAGGTAAAGCCGATGTATTTGAGTGTGGAAACTACAGGGGCCTGAAGCTGTTAGATCTGGGTATGAGAGTTGTGGAAAGAGTGACGGAGATGTTGATGAGACAGAGTGGATATTAATGACATATTGATTGGGTTTATGCCAGGCAGAGGGGTGACTGAGGTTATATTTACGGCCAGACAACAACAAAAGAAACACCTAGGGAAGGAGAGAAAGGTGTACTCTTTATCTGAAGACTTGAAAGGCATTTGACAGTTGACCACGTGGAGACCTGTACCTGATCAGCAGGAATCCCGGTGCGGGCAGTGTCTTCCCGGCTCTTGGTGGGCTTCAGCTCATCTCTGGGTACAATGTCAATCAGGAAGTCAAACTGGTCATATTTGGTAATCGCCATGGCTATGTCATTTCTCTGAAGAAGGAAAATGAAAGAGATTCTATGATATAAACCTAGCCGATGTATGAGAGGTTATCTCTAAAGCTACCTTCACCCACTGGGCCACTAAACACTGCTCTCTATACACTCACATCTCAACCTATCTACTGTACATCTAAATGTTTATCTGTGCGCCAGTCTCCTTGCCCTACACATCCACAGCTATACAGTACAGTACTGTACTATATAAACTTATATATCTTATAACCACAAGGTGATTAATCTACTAATTCATGTTACTGTCACTTCCCACAACTTAACTTTCTAACAATAACAAGAAGTCACAATGACAGAAAATTCCACCATGGTACAATTGAACCTTTCAAGCTTGATGGTACAGTATTCAACTATCTAAGATGAAGTATCAAGGGTTCACAGTCGACATGATGCAGTTTTTGGAACCTGCATGTGCATGTATAGGGTTAAAAATGTTTATATTGTACTGTGTATAGTAAGTAATATGACCTTAGCAAGAATGCAATTGACCAACTCAACAACACATATGTACCGATGATGTAAAAATATATCATCACTTGTTTATGACGGACGAACATTAAAAAAGTAAACATACCTGTAACGTCCTACGTTTGTTGTCTTCCGTGTGTATCCACGCTCTGAGGGTGAGCTCTGTTATAAATATTTCCGCAGCTTTGCTAAACAAGACGGGTGCCTCTGCACTGATCATCTTCACGTCATCGTCCAACTTCATTATTCTCTTTATCCGTGCTAATGGCAGCTCTTGTTGTCGTAGGTCACTCTGCCAGTACCACTCAAAATTATATATACTGTATATATAACAGTGTCACACACCAAGGAACACATAAGAACATAAGAATGGAGGAAACTGCAGTGGGCCTATTGGCCCATATTGGGCAGTCCCATTTACACCCAACCCCTATTGCTCATATATCCATCCAACCTATGTTTGAAGCTATGCAGCCTTCCATATCATCATCATAATCATTCTCCACACTCTGTGGGTTAGTCACAATTACCTGATGGTATGGCTGCTCTTCACCCAGTAGCCTCCCTCCCCATGTTATTATCTCAGAGGTCATATCTCACAACCTCTCCCCGTGTCATTCTAAGCCTACACCCCGAGGGGAGAGGTTGCGTACTTCCTAGCAAATAATTAGATGAGAGAGGCTGCAAGACACCACACAACATGATGGTGGTGATGACTGAGGGTACAAAGCTAGTACAGTATACTGAAAATGGTTTTTATTACCAATGAAAGCAGGTGTGCAAAGAATGCATCAATATGGCATCTAGGGACATAATATACTGTACCAGTGTCATTCCAACACTCAACCTGTCAATATCATTATTTATGGTACAAATATTCAAGAGTGTTGTGAAGTAATGTCTTCCCAACATTGGACACCCCCAGTTCCCCCAGCTGTAAATGGAAAGTGAAGGCAGTTGAGTGCAGTACCAGCTACACTGCCTCCTTGACTATCAAAGGCCTAGTATACAGTGTGTTGTATCCACACTGTTCCTAATGGTCAGTCATGCCTATGGAACCCAATTTTACCTTTTTTCACTGCTATGGCTAAAGCCTTAAACAAGATCAGTATTGACTGATGATCAAGAGTTTTTAAGGTTTTGTACTTCTTACCCCAAAACATTTATCACTGAAATTCCTGTAAGTGTTACTAGCAAGTCATCAGTACTACAACATAAAGAGGATGTTGCAGGAACCACCACCATCTTCACCTACACGTTCCTCCTCCATCATAATGTGTACAACAAGCCAGCCTCTGTTTAATGTCTCACTGATTCCTGATACATCATCAACAGTATTACAGTATATACCATTTTACCTTTAGTAAACTCAACTGTTCCTAGTTACTTACTTTAAACCTCTTGTGATATACACCCAGTAGGAATTTTGGATCACCTGAAGAATCTCCACCCTGGCTTATTTCACCTGAAGATTAACCACCCTAACACTATTTGGGGAATGAAGTCAGCTAATACCAAACTGAAATTGATGTGTGAGGACGAACCTGCGTGAGTTGACGTATCTCATCCGTGACCTTAGGCCAGAAGCTGTTAAGGCTCTGCTGCGCTTCAGTCATTGCCTGCTGACCCCCATCCAACTGACCGTCACCCGACATCTGTAAACAAACGAGACTGTAAACGTTGTGCAAGTGACATTTTCATAAGAAAATTTAATTTACTATAGAGAAATTTTATCAGGTAGCTGTCGTGACCAGACCACTCTAGTCTAGTCTAGGGAAAATGTGGGGTTAGAACACACAAAAAACCCACTAGTTGAACCTAACCTAACCTAACCTATATTATAAGCCATTACAACAAAAATTCTTACATAATGGACGAGTAAAATCACTGTTAATCTGGTTTTCATATGATGAGAATTGTGTTTATGTTACTAGACCAAGAGAGAACAATACTGACGGACATTAATAAACACATCTTACAACACTTCAATCACCTTCCCTAACAAGACACTACTAACCTCTTCAGAAGGATGTAAAGGCCAGTCAGAGAAGGTGAGAGCGTCGTCCTCCAGCTGGTAGAGGTGAGGGGATCAATTAAGAGAGACACACACTAGACTCCATCATCATCGTCTCCCTCACCGCTTGTAAACAGATGATCCAAGATGGCCGCCGTGTTGTGTTCCCCTTGTTAAATAAATACCGACTTAAAACTGTAAAAAATATCATCAATAACAAATAATAATGATAATAATAACTATAAAAAAATCCATGAATATATTTAATTTGATTTAATTAATATTTTAAACTTGATGATTAATTTTTATGGCTATTACCTGTCGCTTAGATAGAGAGATACGACCTTAAAATATATACAATGATAATCTTAGAGAAACTGATAATACCTTTTATAATAATATTTAAGGATACTTTTATTTTATTGTCATTCTGTATTTTATTACCTTATGGATATTACTTGTCGCATAGATGAAATAATAGTCTATCTATCTATCTTGCTGTCTATATATGTATCTATCTACTACACTGCCTCATTATTATTATTTTTATTATTTTTATTATTATTATTATTACTATTATTATTATTATTATTATTATCATGTACTTGTAAATCGTGTTGAATAAATTTAAATAAAAAAAGTCCTATTGCATCATCACAACATTAGGTAAAAGATGATTAATGTTGGATAATTTACCGAACAAGGCTACAATTTTAATCTTTAAATATATAATATAAATATAATATTAATATATAGTTTTAAAATAGTTTTATATTAATTATAATTTAGTTTTATTAAATTTGTAGGGTTTAATTAATTTGTCTTATCGATAATATCAGTATATAGCTATCCAGTTCCCGGTAGTTCTGTAACATTGCCCAGTAACTTCTGTAACATTGTGTGGGGTGAGGGGACTGAAGGCTCAAGGTTACCTCCTGACCCACACATGTCGAGATGACCACTACAATACCCTGTTAACTAAGGTATGACATTATATGTGGTTAGATATGTCCCTGTTACTGTAGATAATAATGAGAGGCTGAGGTTTAATGTATGGACGAGTGTATGGTGATAGTTGTGTTATTTGTATTATATTTTGAGGCTGTCTTCTGGAGCAGTACTGGTCAGGGTGTAATAGCCAACTGTCTAATGGTCAATAGGTGATTAGTGGCGAGGAGGATAATGTATAATGATTAAGTAACGTTAGATGATTAGGTTATGTTAAATGATTATAGGTGATTAGGTTAGTTTAAGTGATTAGATGAGGTTATCTTTATACCCCTTCTCACATTTCCTGATCTAGTTCTTAATAAACACCTGAATGGTTAAATATTAAAATAAAACTAAATAAAAAGATTTATTTGGTGCTGTTGATAATTTGTATACTGTAGCGCCGTTGTGTTGACGAGACCCCAACTATTCCAGGTAGTCATCATGTATGCTGTTCGTTCCTTGCGTCCACTGCGGCTGACGGTCCAGAATGCCGCCAGAAAATACTGTACCGACGCTCCAGTTGCACCGAGGAAGAAAAGACGCGTTCTGGCCTTCATCGGGAAGAGCCTCGGTGGTGTGGCGTTGACGGTGCCGGCGGCCGGAGGAGTGTACTACCTTATGAGCGATGACGTCACCAAGAGGCAGACCAGAGTCACCTTCGAGGGTATTGGTCGATTCTTCAGGTATATAAAATTCTTGGCAGATTATTATACCCTGTACATAATTAACCCCTTCACTATAGGGATGCCATTATTTACATCCCCCCCCCAGTACAGTATATTTGACCTTACCCTCATCACCTCTGGTCAGGTCAATCGTCGGTGGTCGAGTAACATTAATCCTTTTGCTTCAGGACTCTGTGGGTGGGTGTGACCATATCACTAGACTACCAGTGGTCGACATACGGCCTGGACGACGCCAGCGACATGTATGAAGAGGCAATGTCCGGGACTCACCAACGCTCTGCTGAACGGATACTAGATGCCTGCCTGAAGGTGCTGGTGTAGAGTGTTGTCATACTGCACGTGGTAATGTTTTTAAGTGTTGTGGAAGTACAGTAGGTTATTTAGGTGTTGTAGACATTAGTTCAGTCTGTTAGGCTTGATGGTCAGTGTCAGGTGTTTGATAGAAAGGTGATACATTATCGTGATGGTGTGAGTTGACTTAATATTGTGACAGTATAGAGACTAGACTAACCCTGTGTATTGGTTCAACAGAATGGAGGACTTTATGTGAAGCTTGGTCAAGGTTTGGTGTCAATGAACCACATCCTGCCCAAGGAGTATGTCAACGTGCTCAGGGTGAGTTCCTTCCACCTAACTCCTTCTGTGTGTGTATGATATGAACAGTATAGTGTATGTATGTGTGTATCATCATCATCAATGTTTTATGTCCACTGCGAGAAATCTATTGAGGTGTTTCTTTCAGGCTCTACAAGACAGGTGCCTTAATCGTAGCTGGGATGAGATAGGCACCTTGTTCCAGGAAGACTTTGGACGCTCACACAAAGCAATGTTTGCCAAGTTTGATGATGAACCAATTGCTGCAGCGAGTTTAGCACAGGTGAGGCATTTTGGTTGGTGGTACAGAGGTAACACGAGAGTCTCTGGCCTGGGACGCCATCAAACACTGCTGGTTTTCTCCTTTAATAACACCGGACAATGAAGTTATATCAAAGTAATAAAGAACATCTCAACCGCCTGAATGGCTAGTAAGCTGGTAAATGGTGAAACAATAAATAAGTAAAATAAGATAAATAAATAGCTACATTAAGGTTTGTATATACACACACTTGACAATGGCCTTTCCATTGTCCCCAACAAATAGAATTCATTGAAAATTTTTATATAAATACAAAATGATCAGAAAGTTACTGTACACTGAAATTTTTGTATTTATTATTTTCTTTAATTATTAGTGTATACATAATGTAGAAGTTACAATAAATGTTCAGAATGATTACTATTAACATTATCCCTTACCTGTAAATGGCATAACATGTTGTTCCTCTCTGTTGTAACTTATGACCAAATGGACAATTTCCCTCAGTGCATTAAAATCTTTTCATAATCCTGTAAAATTATTTTTACCATTCACCCAACCATCCTTTACTTTGATGTTGGTTATGTCAGAACTTACAGGTGTTTGGCTATAACCTGGATCAAAGAGAAGCTGGGTGTTGTAGGCAATTACTGTTTGTTGTTGTGGCTGATGTGTGAGTGAGTGTCTGGTGTGCGTGGGGTCGGTGCCAAGTTATTAACATCACTAACGCTCATAATGTCTTCTGCAGGTGTTCCGGGCCACAACGCACGGCGGGGACGAGGTGGCGGTGAAGGTGCAATACATTGATCTCCAAGACCGCTTCAAGGGGGACATAGCCACCATAGAGTTGATCTTGGAGTTTATACAGCTGATGCACCCCAAGTTTGCCCTCAAGTGGGTCATGAAGGTACTACTGGGAGAGACTTTTCTTTATTATATCATGTTTATTGCAGGACAGGGAAGACTAGTGTACTTAATAACATTTTCTGAAAAAATATAGGGTGGTACTTTAGTGTGCAGTCAACAAGATATTTAGGTTTGGTTAGACTAAAGATATCTTTATAGATTACACGCTTTAGTAGCACCAAAAATAGTATGGCCAGCTGTGCTTATTTCCAGTTGGGTCTTTTGCTAAGGCTTAGTTACTAATCGGTAATAGTAAATCCACGAGAATAAAACTTTTTTTTTTGACGAATAGAAGAAGCATTTACATTGTGCTTAAGACTACCTGAGGCTGATGGATCACTTCAACAACACATCCTGTTATTATGAAAGATTTAGAACTATCCCTTAAAAGTTCATTTGCCTTTTTTAGGTTTGTTCATATGAGTTTATTTTTTTCTGGACGTACGTATAGATTACTGTCTTTGGTCAGTTTATTGTGAGCAGCACAGAATTCACTGTTATTTACGCATTTTGTCCACTAAGCAGCACAAAAATCACCGGTATTTATGCTTTTTGTCCTCACTATAAGAGCACTGTTGTTATCACTGCAGGACCTGAAGGGCACACTGGAACAAGAGTTGGACTTCATCAATGAAGGCCACAACAGTGAGCGCTGTGCGAAGGACCTCTCAAATTTTTCCTTTGTCTATGTACCAAAAGTTCACTGGGACCTGTGTAGTAAAGTGAGTGCAAAACTGACTTTTGTATACTGTAGCAAGGTGTACTCAACACTGACTGACTTGTATACTGTAGCAAGGTGTACCCAAGACTGACTGACTTGTTTACTGTAGTAAGGTGTACCCAAGACTGACTGACTTGTTTACTGTAGTAAGGTGTAGCAAGGTGTACCCAAGTAAGACTGTTCTATACTGTTCGTCATCACATCTTTGAGGTTTTTAAAGGCAGTACATGGAAGAAACTTGTTTAAGAGAGCCAAGAATTTTTTTTTGTGTCTGTACTGTAGATGGAAGCATGATCTAATTTTAGTGTCATGTTATAGCTATCTGGTATTATTATTAGTGTACTATTATTATTATTTTTTGCAGAGAGTTCTAACAGCTGAGTTTATCCACGGGCACAAAGTCAATGATGTTGTCAACATAAAGAAAGACGGGATGAGCCTTGAAGATGTAGACGAGAAGCTCATCAACGCATTTGCCGAACAGATTTTCCACACTGGCTTTGTACACGCTGACCCACACCCGGGGAATGGTTAGTTAGTGTGTTTGTAATGTCCCCTGCTATAATCTGGTCCTTGCCATAGTCTGTGTCCCCGCTATAATCTGGTCCTTGCCATAGTCTGTGTCCCCGCTATAATCTGGTCCTTGCCATAGTCTGTGTCCCCGCTATAATCTGGTCCTTGCCATAGTCTGTGTCCCCGCTATAATCTGGTCCTTGCCATAGTCTGTGTCCCCGCTATAATCTGGTCCTTGCCATAGTCTGTGTTCCCGCTATAATCTGGTCCTTGCCATAGTCTGTGTCCCCGCTATAATCTGTTCCTTGCCATAGTCTGTGTTCCTGCCAGACCATGAAATTTAGTGCTGTAGGAATGTAGTTTATGACATTGTTATTTACCACTCCACCACTTGGTCAGTAGAATGATCAGCTGAATTAAAAGGAGTGTTGACAGCAGCCAGTGACATCTGAAATAACACCTGGGCAATTCTTCACTCTATATATGTATTTCCTTCTATCTTTATATTTATTTGAGAGAGAAAAATGACAAGAATCTAGAGTATATATTTTCTTTTTAAATTTTTTTTTTTACAAACATTAGACAACTACAGAGCTCATATTTATTCTCTTAAGACACTGCATGATTGACCCTACACAGTAAAAGTCTCAGGTAATATATCACTGACCTTTGCAGTTCTGATACGCCGGAGTCCTCGTGGTGGAGCGGAAATAGTTATATTGGACCACGGGCTGTACCAGAACCTCCCTACCTCAGTGAGACAGCCTCTGTGTCGTCTCTGGAAGGCCATCGTCTTGGGAGATCATGAAAAAATGAAGGAAAATTCTTCTCAGCTGGGTGTGACAGGTGAGTGTTGGGTTTACAAGTTGCTTTAGAGAAATATTATGTTTATTTCAAGAGGCAAGTTAGATGAAAATAAATGTGAGTCCCAGGAAAAAATGTCATTATTAAAATATGTTTCCTTTTATAAAACTACAGACATCAATTAACCACAGTATTTGACCATTCCAGCATTATTTGTAAATTTTTTAATTCTTGGTGACCCGGAAGACATTATCCACTTCAGGTATCTCAACAGATGAGCCCATCAATGTACTTTATTCACTCCACCCTCAGTAGTCACATGATCCTGGCAACAGTCCTTATCACAGTAATTGAATGCCAGCAAATCCCTTTGAGGACCTTGTGATCTTAACACCCAGAACCATAACTCTTAAGCATTTTTAACTGTCTTCTTGTATGTTTGTGCTGTGTGTATTTCATATGTGTTACAGACAGTCATCACTAGAGGGCATTGCTGATGAGGTTGTTGGGGACGGTGTTGTTATGGTATCCTATACGAGTGTTTTTATTGTTGTTGTTTTGACGTCAGATTTAGATATTTAACTTTTAAGTCTTTATGTCTTCTCTGTGTTAAGACTAAGGTCAAGACCTCCTATCTGAGACAAAGACCTGGGGTACAATATTACTTTTTTATTTAGATTGTCAACTTGGGTATATGTCATCCACATTCTAACATCACCTCAAGTTAACTGCCTCTTGATAGTCACTGAATAGTATTTAGTGACTTTCGCAGGGGGTGAACCAGACTTTGAACGAGGTTGTTAGGATTTAAGAATTATGGGTATTGATTTAATAATTTTGTTTTTAATCTTATGGGTAAAGTTGTTAGTTGTTATGTTTAATTTATTGTATTTCAGGCGTTATTGGTGACGACATTTATCAGTCCTCTTGCAGGGTACTTTGTGTTGACCTCAGCTACACATGTTATCATCCCATACTGTTGTTAATAATAGTGAAGGCTTACATGTTATCTCATACTGTTGTTAATAATAGTGAAGGCTTACATGTTATCTCATACTGTTGTTAATAATAGTGAAGGCTTACATGTTATCTCATACTGTTGTTAATAATAGTGAAGGCTTACATGTTATCATCTCATACTGTTGTTAATAATAGTGAAGGCTTACATGTTATCATCTCTTGCTGTGAACACTTGTTAATAATACAGTACATGCACATGACAGATGGTTATCGGTTCTTCTGCATGATGGTGGCACAGCGTTACGTGCCTATCTCTGGGATGGACAAGTCCGAAAATGAGTTCTTTGGAGCCAGTGGACCCAAACAGTTTAACCGAAGTGATTGGAAGAAAATGAAGAAAGAGGATAGAGAAAAAATGCAAAAGCGCATGGAGGAAGCGCGGGAGAAGATACAAGGATCATTTGAAAATCTTCCAACCGAGCTCTTCCTCGTACTGCGGTGAACACGACGCTAGAACTCCTTGTTTGGCATGATACTCCTTCCATGTGTTCTCTCATCTCCTGTTGGTGGCTTCCTCTCCATCTGTAGCCGAGATGTAAACTCTGTTCTCTCTGTTTGGGTCTTTTTCTAGTTCGTAAATATCCTCGTCTTCAGTATCTGGTGCTAAGATAGAGTTCACTTGCTTCTGTACTTAATGAAGACTTGTGTGAGGTCTGCTAACCTATGTTTTAACCTTCCTCTGTTCCGTAACAAAGGCTGTGTGGGCAGGACAGATAGGCTGATGGGTGGAGAGGTAGACAGCCACTGGTACTTTTGTTTTCTTCTTGAGTTACTGAATTAATATATTTTTTATCATTTGCATCATGTTACAATATCTGTCATCATCCTCATTTTTTATCATGAATCATCATCAGTCAACAAGCATAATCATTACTGTCAAATTCATACTACGTGGGTTAGTCGTGATTACCAGGTGGCAGCTCTCCACGTTGTACTGTACACTTTAAATGTCAAACTCTCGTATCACTCATCACAATTTACTCAACACATATAGGGTGATGTACTGTAGTGTAGGTTGATATACTGTAGTGTAGGTTGATATACTGCAGTGTAGGTTGATGTACTGTAGTGTAGTTTGATATACTGTAGTGTAGGTTGATATACTATACTTGGAGAGAATCAAACTCACGAGGAATTTGATCGTAGGGGTAAAGAAGAACACATAAGGAAACCATTGATCTTGGTCGTCTGCCGGAAGTCACACAACTTGGAAATGTTTACTGTTGCATCCTCAATACTGTACACAGGGGATCCTTGCTCTTAGTCACCTTGTTTGGTTCATTACTGTGTTGCTGATGCATTAGGGACAGTATTTGTTTAGCTTTGCTTGTGTTTCATTATGATGATGATGTCCGCTGATGTGTAACAACAGTACTTTGGACGATATACAGTACAGGATTATACACCCAAACATCGTGCCTTCAAAACCTGCAGTGAGTGTCTGTGAAATGCCCAGCACCAAGAAAACCAATTATAGTCTGGCCACAGTATTGGAAATCTCAGGGTGGCTTGAGGCTGTTGGAAGATTTTATTTATGCCGAGCCAAACCCCCTCCCCTCTCCCCCATGACATTACTTAATAGGGGGGAAATTAATCTGCTTATCATTACAGTACTTCGTTTAACACTTTACAGGACCTCGTTGGTGTCACTTCTCCACGGGTGAAATTTAATTCTTTTTGGTATGTAATTTTTCATCTGAAGTCGTGATTGACATTACCCATCTGTGGTCTGTTTCAGCCTCGGACTACCGCTTGTTTTGCATATCTCTCTCTCAGCGCTACGTGCCACCTGCCGAGGGCTTTGTCCATGATGTGTTTGATCTATTTTTTAACGACAAAGGCCCGAACTTTATGACGCGCGCCGACTTCAATAAACTACCAGAAGAGCAGAAGAGTGAATTACGGAGAGAAATCTTGGATGTTCACGATCGTGTTCTCGAGGTCTTCAAGGCGATTCCTAGCACGCTCATGCTGATATTTAGGTATTGTATCTGGATGTAATGGAGAATTGATTATTTAGTGTATTTATAGAGTGCATGGTTTGTTATTGTGCGAATTGTCCATTGGTGTGCTTATATCATAGTTCCGGGGAAAAATCACGGCAGGGCAGAAAACACTCGGACAGAATCAACACAAACACAGAGCTGGAGACATTGTAAACCTCTATTTAACAGACTATAAGGAGGGGAACGTCTGTTATATGGAGGTTTTACTCTATATAACCTCTTCGTTCGGCCTCATACTTCAGGTAAAGAGAATGTTAATACAGGTCTGTCACAGATGGTGGCTCTTTGTATCACCATTTATGTATACTTATTGAAAACCAGAAGGTTGTTTCGTTGAAGGTGCCTCTCTGTGGGTAAAGTTTCACGTTTGGTTGGGTCGAGGTCTTGTTGCTGATAGTTGGGCTCTTCCTTCTCTGGAATTCAGGTAGCCATCTTGGGTTTATTCAGGTTGCAATCTTGGGTTGATTTTTGTCGCCATCTTGGGTTAATGCTGGTAGCCATCTTGGGTTGACTCAGGCAAGCATCTTCATGATCAAGGATGCCATGTGAAAACCTGAGTAGTTCCTTTGATCCGTTTATGTGAGATATACATTTGCCCGTACAGTAAATTCAAGTAAAGATTATCGGTGGTGTCGAAGATTATATCTTAAAGAGATGAAAAAAATTTGTGTATTTTCTTATGAATTAATTGACATCATTGTGAATGCTTAGATATACATGTATATTGTTTCAATAAGCCAAGTATCATACATGAGAAAAGATACAATACTGTAAAGTTTATTTACGAGGACTTTAATTATTTTTTTTGTAGTTTTGTGTGAGACTTGTACACCATGTGGGTAATGTCTTGGTGTATGAGCAGGACTTAAGCCGAGTGTGGTAGAGATAATGCTATACACACTTATGAATGTAAAGTATTTGTTATGAGGGAGAGATTACTGTACTATTCTGTGTGTGAGGGTTAGGTCTGGGGTATAATCCTTGAGGGGGGAGTGTTAGTAGATTAGCTTGTTGTTGATGATTAGCTGAAGCAACACAGCTATTCACACTCACTGGACATAATAATAAGCGCAATTCATTTCCATTGACTTGCAGACTACTTGCTTTTTGCGGAAATGCTCATGCAGCATCCGGTTCTGAGCAAAAGTTTCAAGTTGGTAAAACACGTAGTGAGTTCCGAGGACTTAGAGTACATGCGGGAGATGGCAGCCAACAGGTTCGATCAGATTAACAGGACGCTGCGAGAGATACCACGGGAAATGTTGTTGATTATACGGTAGGTAACGTTTGGCGGGACAATGATGCGAGTTTTTTGGTGGTCTCTTTTATTGACTTTAATGGTTTGCTATTTGCATGTATGTTTGTGAGTCCGAGAGAGGAGGGAAGGAGCTGGATTGAGATTTTGAAGTAGTGGTCCTACAAGTTTTGGACACCCGCCTTTACACACACCTGATGTTGTTGTCTCCCCTGCATAAGTATTGTATGGCCACTACCTCCTGTATTTGGGTATAGCTAATTTATGTCAACCTGTGCTGTGATGCCATGATCATTTTCAGTAGTTTTAGGGCGGAAAAAAAAAAGTTTGGAAAAAATAGGTATGATTGAAGTGGGAAAGAAAAGTTTCTTCTTAAATCATTAAAGGTTTACATTTAATTGTCCATGTTTGTGTACCTTTTGGATGCTTTTGTGTTTGAAGTCTTCCCTTAATATGCACACACACACACACACACACACACACACACACACACGTATGTTTGATAGTTTTTTTTGTTATATAAGATGACATGTTAAAGGAAGTGAAGGTAGAAGTGGTCTCTTGATGTTGTGTGTGTGCATCTGAGTGTGTCCAAGTTAGTACCGTTTAATTTTCACAGAGGCTAAGTTAGGCAAGCTTGGGTTTCGTTGGACTAAGTTACATTAAGTTAGGTGGAGTTAGACTAGAGTTAGGTTAGAGTGGATTTGATTAGCCCATCGGAGTGGAGATTGATCGTGTTGTTATGTCGTACACAATTGGTCTGTCCATCAGAACTCACTGGATTCTCAACTACAGCACAATAGAGGTTCATGGATTGGTTGGCTCTTAAAGGCGAGATCCTCTGTGTAGATGGTCATGAGGTTGAGGAGGATCTCTCTCACTCATTGTAGTATCCCACATGAAGATTGTGTATGGGTCGGAGGGAGAATCTCCTTAACACATATTGAAGTGGATACTGATGTCCCTTTGTTCGAGTCACAGCAAGAGGAGGTCGATTCCATTCAGCCCTGCACACACACACACACACCGAAGTACAATTCATAAATCAAGTTGGGAAGCTTGGATCACATTAGCAATCATCTTGCTTTATTATATATATATATATATATATCTTTCACAATAACAACTAATGACATTGGCTCTATAATATCCAAGGAATATATTAACCTTTAGGCGTCTTAGTTTAGGCCTATTTAAGGCTGTACCATCCCTGAAGCCGAATCTACAGTATATAAATAAAAAAAATCGGGTGCCGATTACTCGTTAGGTGTAAGGACAGTATTTTCTCACGAGTTTATGCAGTGAGTGTGAGAAAGTTTTTGTTTGTGTCTGGGATGTATTGTCCTAATTAATTGTTTGTTTGTTGTGTACAGGTGTTTCTTAGGTTTGGTTAATGTTTTGTTAGGTTAAGGTTAGATTAGATTAGGTTACCTGACGAAATTTGTGTCTCATTAGTAGTGTCTTGTGTACCTGTATTTTCTTTCTGTTCATAAAACCTATCCATACTGAGGTGTTCGGTGGCGAGCGTTGATTTTACACCTTGGCTGACCTCCGATTAATTCCCTGGTTTGTGGGAGGTGGGGGCCCTGCGGGGGAAGGAGGGATAGATCCAGCCAAGTTACCGGTAAGGAATTTCAAGGCCGCCAGTCTGTGTGGCTTAGAAGTGGCGTGGACTCTACCTGTATGACTGGAGCGTACCTGTGTGAACCTATGACTGTGCAGCACAAATATAGAATTACATTACAGGAGGATCTATGAAGGAATCAAATAGGAATACAGGTAGTTAGGAGTAAGATACAGTACATTAATATTGATCTAGTACTGTAGTGTATATGGGATGTGAGTTTAGGTTAGGATTTGATAGATTAGCTTAAGAGTAGGTTAGATTAGACTAGGTTAGTTATATTAGGTTAGACTAGGTAAGGATATATTAGGCTACAGTATGTTAGACTCAGTCAGATAATTTTCAAAACAATAAACAAATAAATTCTCTCGTTTGTCAGTCGTCACAAACTCTAACCTTACATCTTTGCTTCTGTTTACTTGGGTTAAGGATGTGCTCTGTAGTTTATAATCCTTCATAAAATAATATCTCTTTCTACATAACACCTTTACTTCTCTTTGTATTAATGTCTCCTTTGTTTGTGTATTAATAATGTTTGTTAGTACAGTAATGGATTTTTTAAAAGTAACAGTCAACTTTCTGAACAAACTTTAAAAGTTTTTTGTCAGGAAGAAAAGTTAATTATTTGTTCAAATGCGATGTATAGTTGGGGGTCAAAAGTTCACTCCTGTTCAAAATAAAGCAGCATCGACCCCAAATGAGATGAAACAGTCAGGGTAAGTCAGTTCAGAGACTCGTTCCCTTGACTCAGTTTCACAACAGGGAGTGAGCTTTTGTCCCTGACTGTACAGTGTGTAGTAGGTGTTGAAACAAAAGTAAATATGATTGTTTAACTTTTTTCTGATTATAGTTATGGGGTAAGATTATTACCTGAAGATTAGGTAGTATATTTCACCTGGTAATTAACCCCTTGTGTATAGGGGGGGGGGTCTCTGTGTAGAATAAAATTGCATGTCATTAGCCAAGTAAATGCCATAGTGAAGAGGTCAAATTAAATGCCTTCCTGCTAACCTAACCTGATGAGTTAGGGTAATTTGCATTGGGTTAAGCTTACCTATATTAAGTTGGGTTAGGTTAGGTTCCATTAGGTTAAGTTTAGCAATGTATTCTTTGGTTAGGTGCTATGGGTTAAGCTTTCCTGTATTGTGTTAATGTGCTATGGGTTAAGTTTTCCTGTATTGTGTTAATGTGCTATGGGTTAAACTTTCCTGTATTGGGTTGTTAATGTGCTATGGGTTAAGCTTTCCTGTATTGGGTTGTCAATGTAGGGTTAAGCTTGCCTTTATTATGTTAGGTTTGACAGACTGGTCAGACATAATTTCATATTTGACAGCAAGATTTTTGAGAAAGGCCAGAGGGTAGTTGGACTCTGTAAGACTTGTGGGTACAGTACTGTACCTACATTATGCAGTTTCAGTATTAGAGTTCTGTATTTTATGCATTACTCATTTATCCTCACAAAATATAAGGCTATAAAACTAAAAAATAAAACTTAAGGTATTTGATTCATCAATTATTTACCCTCAACATAAAAAAAAGCTTACGGTACTTTGCATATTCTTTTATTGTCACAACAGAAAGGGGTATTACTCTCTTCTCTCCCCCATAATAGGAATGTAAACACGATCCGCGCCGTCACGAGGGAACACGGCAACATCGTTGACAGATATACGCTGATGGCTCGGTCGGCGACCAGAGGAGCGTTTGTCTCTCCTGATGCCACCTTCAGGCAGAGGATGCAAGGACGTTGGGAGCAGTTCTACTTTGACTATTCCCTCAAGTGAGTATGAGGCGATAGTGTGAGTAATGAGGTGATAGTGTGAGTAATGAGGTGATAGTGTGAGTAATGAGGTGATAGTGTGAGTAATGAGGTGACTGATGACTGTGAGGCAGAAATTATTTAGAATAAGGATGATGGGTAACAGTCACAATGAAAACTGGAGAAGAACAAGCAGATGGAGGGCTGAAGAAGCAGGGGTAGAGGAGGTGAAGTGAGGGAGGAGAGGTGAGGACGAAGATGACAGGTGAAGAAGGTAGCAAGGTGTTGGTTACATCTAGACCACAGTACGTGATAAACCTTTCTTTGGGATGAACCCAGTGCAACAGCCTCAAACTTATTCTTACTCACACAGGAAAGAAGCTGTAAAGATGTGGATGCTGAAGAAAATCCTCTACTTGATGTATCTCTTGGGTCGTGCACCAGACATGGCACAAATAGAACAAGCCGTGTCGAGAGGTGGAGTGGCGTACTGAAGGTAGCAGTGGTTATAGTTTGGTAAGTTTGACGACACTAGATGTGTAAATTTGGTGGGATTGAGATTGATTGTTCTTGCAAGTCCCAGTCCTACAGGGGCCCAACCTGTCATGACCCTAAAATGGCTGCTGACCTCACCTGACCAAACATAACCTAATCTAACCTGACTTAACCTAACTTAAACTAGCCACACCTAACCTAACTTGGGAAAACCTAATCAAACTTAAACTAACGTTTTACTAGTATACAATATATATATATATATGTATATATAATGTGTTTTTCCTCCCTGCATTGGCCGTAAATTCATGTAATGCTTCCGAATTTGTTTATTTATGAAAATCAGATTTAGATTTGACCTCATTTATTATTTGTGTATGAGACACCCTGTACAGTATGTTGCACAGCCTATGAGACACCCTGTACAGTATGTTGCACAGCCTATGAGACACCCTGTACAGTATGTTGCACAGCCTATGAGACACCCTGTACAGTATGTTGCACAGCCTATGAGACACCCTGTACAGTATGTTGCACAGCCTATGAGACACCCTGTACAGTATGTTGCACAGCCTATGAGACACCCTGTACAGTATGTTGCACAGCCTATGAGACACCCTGTACAGTATGTTGCACAGCCTATGAGACACCCTGTACAGTATGTTGCACAGCCTATGAGACACCCTGTACAGTATGTTGCACAGCCTATGAGACACCCTGTACAAAAACTTCATTTAGTCTTACAACGTTCCTTTTTTTTTCATTCTAAACTACCTGTACTGTGAGTGATTATACTGGTGAATTATAGTGACAGTAAACTTATCTTTTGTTCTATAATTTGTAACCAGTACACCAATAGGTAATAGACATCAAGGACAGATCACAGGAGCATAAAGGAACATACGCAAATTTGTATGGGTTTCTACGAGTCAGTCCTTGTTTAAGTTAGTTCATTTTTGGCCCAGTGTATTGCTTAGAGAACAATTGTATTTGCTGTAAAATGTTCATGGAAAATACAATAGCAGTTGGATTCTCTAATTACTTTACTACATCTATGGATGATTTTGCCTGTTAAGTGTCTTCAAACCTATTTTTCACTACAGGAAGAACAACATCTCTTAAGTGACTTTCGACAAGATATCGTCACTCAACACTACAAGTGGCTGGTCATGTATGGTCCACCAGCATTTATACCTGTTAAAATTGGCTGGTTCTTTTTGTGAGGTATTGCAACTCTGTATTTGTTTACATGGTATTAAAGCTCCCCAAATGGCCCTAAGGAATCTCCCATTAGGAGCCAGACTAAGGACACTAGATGAGCAATCCACAGAGTTGCCACATCTCCCAAAACACGCAGCAACTTGACTTGGGGGGTGGGGGGGGGGGTATGTGTATAGCTGGGAGCGTGTGTGCTGTGTAATAAGTCTTCATTGAGAGCATTACCGGGAAATCGAGCAAGTGGAAGCTTTAGTAATACCCTAGAAACTATTTTGTATGCTATTAAATGATAAGAAATAATTTGTAAATAATAATTAATATTGGTCATAGTTGGTGTAAATCTAGTAGCTTGTCCTCGAACTTGATTGCAACGTGGATGGGGTGTCTATTTGGTACCTTAGCTAGAGAATGGCATTTCTACTAGGTACATTAGCTAGAGTATGGGGTGTCTATTTGGTACCTTAGCTAGAGAATGGCATTTCTACTAGGTACATTAGCTAGAGTATGGGGTGTCTATTTGGTACCTTGGCTAGACATGTGGATGGCATTTTTACTTGGTACATCAGATGCTGGTGTTAAGAATTAGACACGAGTTGGGAGTTTAATACCATATAGTGGGTACTGGGGTTATTATAAGACTGTGACTTATATACTTACTATAGTTATTATATATACTGTACTGTTCGATGAACACTTATTCTCAGGGCCAGCAGCTATAATACTGTTAATGTCTTCTTGTTAATTTTTTATAATAAGTAAATCCATATTGTATTGATATTTGCAATACATAAATGGCTTTCTTTTTCCCTGGTGTTGAAGTTCTATATTGTATTGTTGTTACAGTAGCTACAAGAACTAAACTACTGTATTATTACTGTAAGCAGACCGATAACTATAACTACTTTTACAACAAGATCTAAAATAATGTATTATCAATATCACCGTGATTACAGTACATGTAATATCCATGTGCTCTGAGATACAGGTGACTTACCATACTATACCTGTAATATAACTTACCTAGGGACCAAGTGACTAATATTTCAATTACAGTATTTCTCACCTGTAGCCCGGCATATTTTCTCATGGTACCGGAACAGCAACAGATGATGTTCGTACAGTGTAAGAATTGGGATGATTACTTGTTGTAAATACATTCTCCGCTCCGCCTCATCTTCTGACAGTGGCAGGAACACAAAATAATGGAATAATTAGCACTATGGAACAAAGTTATAGAATAATTAGCACTAGTGAACAAAATAATGGAATAATAAGCACTATGGAACACAATGAAATAAAGAGGACTTACTGTATATTCAATTTCTACTTCCTGATACACTGTACAGTCTTTGTCACATCTCGGTCTCCACCCATCTCGTCTGGTAGCAGAAGGAACACCCAATACAGCTAATAATGGGATAATTAAGCACTAGTGATGGATTTCCACTTGTTTATTGTCGAGTAACACTCACCACACACAGTTGCACACGTGGGTATAGTACTGTACCTCCTTCAGAAATCCAAAGAAATCACGCAGCGCTAGAAAGTTGTAGCTATGAAAAAGTAAGTAGAAAAATATTTCGCTAGAGATGACAACAAAAGGTACTCTCTCTTGCAACATTATTACAAATAACATTTTTGATTAGACTACAACATGATTGTTATACATTCCGAACACATAGTTTGCACAGCAAGGGGTAAATTGTTCCTGTTCTTTCTACAGTAAGTTGTGGTGTTGCCCGACCTTACACTGCTTCATTACGTCAACTTTATCTTCAGCAGACACAAACTGTAGGTTATGTCATATCCCAAATGTTTACTGATAACCTGGATAAAACTCTGAAATTTGTATTTGAAATGTGAAGTTGTAAAAGTTGTTTGTTACTACACAATAACTGATGAGTTTATCTTTGTCGTGCAGATGTGAGCCACTGGTGATGACAAGTGGTAAATGTTGGCTGTTAGGAAGGGAAGGGGTGGCTTCTCTCGGGTCTCTCCATTAACAAAAGAATATACCACTAGCTGAGAACTTTTTCTTTATTTTTTTGGAGTGGGTTTGTTAACAGAATTTTTACTTCATATTGAAGTTTGTATAAGCTTTAAGTTCACTCATAAGGTTAATGGGTATAGATCAGATCTTAATGCATTGTACCATATTATTTAGGGATTAGGTTGAATATAAAGCCATCAGGGGCACCTGACTCCTTCCCCAAATCTAGGAGAGATTTCTTCTACCTTGGGAATGAGTGGAACATTAGGGAGGGAGGGTTATATTTTGGCGAGTCATTCCCTATGTGACTATAGCATATATAGATGAAGTATTTAATGCCAGTTAGAAATTTCATCCGGTAGGAATTAAATCAGCCATCTTTGTTTACAAGTGGAGAGTTGAATTATTAATGAGGAGAGTATGTGAACTGTAGTACACTCAAGGCTGCAACAGTTTCACTTGTCACCTGCCTCAGTGACCCAACAACTGCTTCTCCACTAATGAGAGTTGACGTGCAGCCCTGACACTCATAAACACAACAGTTTGAGCCAAAAGTTTTAGGTTCTCACTATGAGCTTTATAAAGTTTCTCCCATGATTCCCACAAAGTTTAAGTTTCTGGTTAATAATGGCAAAGAGACGGAGCAGTGTAGGGCGCGGCGACACCACCAAGACCCCGCTGGTGAGAACATGCCGAGCAGCTGATCTCACGGCTCTGCCAAGATAACAAAAATAACACAGATACCAGCAACAAGACAGCGTACACGCCATCCCTGACATATGTTTTTTGTAGCATTTTTCACACATTTATGTCCAGCGATACGGACACACACCGACATTTTTGGGGTGGAGTGCGCTGTTAGGTGTACCTAAGGTCGACGGAGTTTGACCCATTGACGCATCTATAAAATAAATATCCGTACAAGCCCTTGAAGTAACATATATTCCATGCGGTATGTGAAATAACAATTTACATATAATGGGAATGAGATTATCACACAGTATATAAAATGTCAAGGACCCCAGGATGTTTGTGGTCGCCACCGGATGACGGGGGTCGTCTTCGTCAAAAGTTGAGGAGAACACCGAGGAAGAGCTCCCGAGACCCACCGGCTGACGCACTGTGGCTTCATCTGTCCCGCCTGGGGAGGAGGGGAGAGGCCACCGACACGACCTGCCAAAAAAGTCTCCAACCCCGGAAAAAGGACGACCTCGATCCAGGCAGAGTGAGGCATCCTGTCCTGGCAGGCGAGAGTCCTCCTTCTGCAGACCACCGGCACATGAGATGAGACCTCCTTCTTGGAGTGAGTTCGGAGCTCTGGTTGAGATCCCAGAGGGTGAGTTACAGCCCATGAGGCTCCAAATAAGCCTAGTGAAGCCCCTGCCAGGTCGAGCACCTCAGCAGGCGAGCCCAAAAGGATAGGCACTGTAGACACGGGCAAGGAGGTCAATGATGGTGGTAAGGGAGGGTAGTGGCGGTGTGAGGGAGGGTAGTGGCGGTGTGAGGGAGGGTAGTGGCGGTGTGAGGGAGGGTAGTGGTGGTGTGAGGGAGGGGAAGGGAAGGAGGGTAGTGGTGAGGGGAGGGTAGTGGTGGTGTGGGAGGGAGGGGGTAGGGGGGAGGGAGGGAGGGTGGTGGTGTGAGGAGGAGGGTGGTGGTGTGGTGTGGTGAGGGGAGGGTAGGGTGGTGTGGGTGTGGGAGGGAGGGAGGGTAGGGTGGAGGGAGGGAGGGAGGTGGTGGTGGTGGTGGTGGGAGGGAGGTGTGTGGTGGGAGGGGGTAGTGGTGGTGTGAGGGAGGGTGGTGGTGGAGGAGGGGAGGGAGGTGGGTGTGGAGGGGGAGGAGGGTAGTGGCGGTGTGGAGGGAGGGAGGGTAGTGGTGGTGGAGGGAGGGAGGGAGGGTAGGGTGGTGTGAGGGGAGGGAGGGTAGTGGTGGTGTGGAGGGAGGGAGGGAGGGAGGGGAGGGAGGGTGAGGGAGGGAGGTAGAGGGAGGGTGGTGGGTGAGGGGAGGGAGGGTAGTGGTGGTGGTGTGGAGGAGGGAGGAGGGTGGTGGGAGGGAGGAGGGTAGTGGTGGTGTGAGGGAGGGAGGGTGGTGGTGTGAGGGAGGGGAGGGAGGGAGGGTAGTGGTGGTGTGGGAGGGAGGGTAGTGGTGGTGGAGGGAGGGAGGTGGTGGTGGTGGGAGGGAGGGAGGGTAGTGGTGGTGGAGGGAGTGTAGTGGCGGTGTGGAGGGAGGGAGGGTAGTGGTGGTGTAGGGGAAGAGGTAGTACTTGAGGAGGAATAAAGAGGAGGTAACACTTGAGGAAGGTGAAGGGACAGGAGTCAGTAGTACAGGCATAGTTAAGGAGGAGACGGTAATTGAGGGTTAAGTCAATATACTCAAGTACTTTCATAAGAAAGATTCGGTTACATTAAGTTAGGTTAGGTTGAGAGGAAGGGAAGATGGTGTCTAGGTAGAGGGAGGGAGGGAGGGTGTTGTCTAGGTAGAGGGAGGGAGGGAGGGAGGATGGTGCCCAGGTAGAGGGAGGGAGGGGTCAAGGGAGGCCCGCGGACACTTCATGACCTCAGTGAAGGATGAACACTCATATAAAACAGCAAGTGACACACCAGCACAGCGTAGTACTGTAGGACCTAATGTCTCCAACACTAGACAATTTTTCAGATAACTTTTTTTTTGTTTTGGTCATTATTATTATATGAGTCACTACTAATCGTACACACTATGAGAATCTCTTTTTTGTGTCGCCCGAACAAGGAGGACAGAAACAACGTGACATGCATTATACACGAATACCTAAAGTGTAGGATAGTTGAAGAGGGGACAGCTGGCGCACGAGGCCCTGACACCAGCTGCTGGGCCCCTGTCACACCTAACACACCACAGGCCACACAAACAGCTGGTGCTACAAGGCCGTTCCAACGCAGTATCGCCACCTATTTTCACCATTTTTTTTCTTCTAAGTCGTGGGTGTACGTCGTTGTGGACCACGGCGGTGACTAATGGAAGGTTAGAAAGAACATAAATAAACCACAGAAAAGCGTTCTTGATGGCGGCGCCTCGCACAAATTCCAACTCGAAAGTTTCACAAAACTCTTCATTATTATATATTAATAATATACTCGTGCGTCCGTTCGTGACAATCCGTTGAGGGACTGTGTTTTCATGGTCAGCGTTTATGCCTTTGACGAGTATTAACTGATGCTTGTACACAACATTGAATAAGGATTGTCCCTGAGTCACAGAAACACCGGGGTGTGAACGAGTCATTCCTACCACCGCTTGTGATGACATGACTGACTGACTCTCTCACCCCATGAGTGTTATAGTGTCTGCTTGGTGCTTTCTTAACCTTTCTACCAGACTCCACATTCTCGAAGGTTATTACATTAATTGTTTTGCTTCACATAAATGGAAATGCGAGAATGCTTACACCTCTTTCACTTAAGCTACGGCACAAAGTTGGCAGCTAAAGTGGCTGTTAGTTAAGACTGCACTAAGACTCTACCAAAGCTATAGATCCTATCCCACATTATTAGTTATGTAGAAAAACAAAGAAAAGGGAATTACTGAACACATGAACTTATAAGATGCTGGATATAAGAGTTTACGAAAAACCTCCATAGATCCCGGCAGTTCTTGGTCACATTTTATTGGTATTTTTTCTTTATTTTCTGCATTTTGTTCACAATATCTTTGAGGTGACATAAACACTAAGATTAAACGGAGCAAAAAATACCCAAAATATTTAAAAAGAGGAAAATGATACACTTTACACAATTAATTAAGAATTGAAAGGCAAATGATTAAGACACAAATGGGTACAGCTAAAACAGAAAATGGAATTGGTGAATTCAATTAAAAGTCGTCGTCCCCGGAGAGTTACAAAATCTGGGATTGGTAGAGATAAGCAGAAAGTATTCGGCATAGTGGATATTACCTTGAATGATTTGAATTGAAATGACAATTAGTTCAACCTACAATGGCAGCAACAACAATACCTAACTGATGCTAAGAGAATGTTCCTAGTTGTGGTACGGTCTCCGGGCAGTTTTGACACCATTCACACTACTATCTACGTACCTTGAGTAGCTTAAGTGAGTTATTTAGATACATACTTAAGTGAATCATTTAGATACGTTCAAAGTTCAAGAAGAAACAAAAAGTATTTATTGTACTAACCTTCGAGTTTACGGGACCGTTTTGGTTATCGATGCCTGTAAGTCCAACGCTGGAAACGAATATAAGTATCTTGTATAAAAGTCACTTGAGAACTTAATCAAAGCAAAATTCATCATTATCATTATTGTCTTTAATATATGGTTGTACGTATCTCAGTAAACCATGGGATCAATGCCACACTTATGTTACCAGTGGCAAATTGAATCCTAGCTCTAGATTTTCAGTAAAAATTGCCACAATGTCATGGATACCTCCGTCACTAAGAGTATGGTGTTATGAATTACGTCAACACTGTCATTAAGGTGTGATAATGTTATGAAATACGTCAACACTGTCATTAAGGTATGGTAATGTTATGAAATACGTCAACACTGTCATTAAGGTATGGTAATGTTATGAAATACGTCAACACTGTCATTAAGGTATGGTAATGTTATGAAATACGTCAACACTGTCATTAAGGTATGGTAATGTTATGAAATACGTCAACACTGTCATTAAGGTATGGTAATGTTATGAAATACGTCAACACTGTCATTAAGGTATGGTAATGTTATGAAATACGTCAACACTGTCATTAAGGTATGGTAATGTTATGAAATACGTCAACACTGTCATTAAAGTATGGTAATGTTATGAAATACGTCAACACTGTCATTAAGGTATGGTAATGTTATGAAATACATCAACACTATCATTAAGGTATGATAATGTTATGAAATACGTCAACACTGTCATTAAGGTATGATAATGTTATGAAATACGTCAACACTGTCATTAAGGTATGATAATGTTATGAATTATGTCAACACTGTCATTAAGGTATGGTAATGTTATGAAATACGTCAACACTGTCATTAAGGTATGGTAATGTTATGAAATACGTCAACACTGTCATTAAGGTATGGTAATGTTATGAAATACGTCAACACTGTCATTAAGGTATGATAATGTTATGAAATACGTCAACACTAAGGCATGATAATATTGCAAGAAGAAGATCGTCACAATGTTGCTAAATTATTCAGTCATAGTAAAGATGCAAATGATAACGTATGTCCTCGAAGGTGCCGCTTAACTCAAGTAGCTGTTCCTTTCATTACAGTCTGTTCCCGTGATATATATATATATATATATATATATATATATATATATATATATATATATATATATATATATATATATATATATATATATATATATATATATATATATATATATATAATAAGCGTCATAATGGGATTAAACTCTGTATATTTCAGGATATTTTGGAGGAGTCAAAGCACACATGAGAATTGTCAAAATGAAAGAAAAAGGTAATATTTTTTCTTTACCCCGATTGTATTAACGTCTAACTACTGTACCGTACTTTGATAGGCTAGTTGTTGCCCCCCTCTAATGGAAAAACCGCAGTAACAGTGTATGTTCTCTAGGTCCCAGAGGCCCTACATAGGACACGAACAAAGATGACCTATTGACCTAACCCAATGATATGAGATTATGTTTAGGTTGGGTTTAAGTTAGGTTGGTTCACGTCGGTGTAACTACATTGGTTGTCATCAATGTTTTAGCGCTGTAGACTCCTGGATCAGGGGATAGGACTCTGCCGATGTAAAATTCCGAATACATTACATTAATTATTTACAACACAAACTGGGAATCTGTTACTAGAAAAGCTGTAATTCTGAATACCTTTAAATATTTGTCCCGGGTTCATTCCCCGGCCTGAGACAGATGTGAGAAGGGTGTTATCCAGTGTGGCACTACCAAACATGGCAGGTTTTCTCTGGGTACTGCAGTTTCCACCTGGACTAACACTGGACACTAAATATCATGATAAAATAACAAAGAATTGGCCAACCTCGAAAATGTCTAGTAAACTGACAAAAACATAAACAGAAAAAAATTAGTGCAAGTCTATAAATGTGATGTCAAATACAAAATTGCTGAGGAATTGATACGGTTTGTCAAGGACGAATTTGTTGGTTCAGAAAACTTTAGAAATAATTACAAAACATACCTGAGTTAGCTTTGACCAAGATGAATGACTGTTATGTTTTGTAGAAGTGCCATAATACTACATGAACAGAAGCCGTGTTTTAAGCGGCTTTCTTAAACTTAAATAAATAGTAATATTAACAAATGTTGAATTAGATGTAAATGAAGGGAAATCATATTGTAGGGTGCTAACTTGGTCTTAAATGAACCAATACTGTAGGGTACCTTGTTGTGAAGTCACATTGAACCAGCTCTTCCCAGCAACAGACTCTCAGCTCTTGATGCAAACAATGTGTTAATGGACAACTAACAAATGATGTTCAATCAATAATGTTCAATTGATCGTGAGGGAGATGGGGCCTGGCATGACATGTACATTATTTCCTAGAGTTGACGTCGTGTGATAATGTCTTCCTTACTACTGTAGATTGACGTCCACGCCTTGCTAAGAGTAAATGGCATCTGTTATAATGACCTATACATTTGTTTCTGTATCCTAAAGACACACTATAACATTCCCTTAACCCCCCTCCCCCCTCTGCACTTAGGCGCTAAGCGTAGTATAGTCACAGCATACTCGTATATTGTCGTTATACACAGTGAGATTTATGATATATTGCGAATTCAGTAAAATATATTTATTATATGGGGGGGGCCTTTATGTTAAACGGGGGTGACACTGTTGTCTTTTGAAGTTTTTTCTTTTGGAAATATTTATCACATACATATATAGGTATAGCTGCTTGTTATGGTGTTGTGTAATTAATGGATTTGGGAGTAAGTTAGTTAGTTAGTTAAATAAGACAAATGTTTTTGTTTTTTTTAGTGGGGTAGTTATGGAAGTAGAAAATTGTGGTGCTATTGCTACTGTCTGTTTCTACGATGTGTCTACCGATGTCTATTTTGGTCTTGATCTACATCTACTTCTTCCCAAGTTACAGGAAAGGACGCACACTTCTCTCTCTCTTTCTCTCTCTATCTCTCCCGTACTGCCTCACTAACACAACACGTACACAAACTTACACACATACACACATACATACAATTATATTATACATGAGAGAGAAAAAAGACAAAGTGAAAGACAAAGAGAGAAAGTGAGAAAAGGAAAAAAAAAGACAGAATTGAGTTGAAGTAACGATGAGCAAAACATTATTTTCGGCCACGTTCACGAGAGCACAGAAGAATGTTTATTGGCGGTGATGGAGCCAGCCGTCACATACTTCACTAAATAGTATCATAAATTTCTTCTAAGTCCTGGCACCCATCTACACCCTTTGCTGCCTGCCATCTAGGTGTGGGATTTAATACGACTTAAAAGTATTATTTCTGGGCCTTACGACACACGGTAGAGTTCTATCTTTCATAAACTTTAATTGCTGGTGGACTAGTGTAATTTAATAATCTTGTTTTTTGCTCGTAATGACCTTAGTTATTGAATCACAGTACAGTAACGTCAACTACACTTTTTTATGTGTAGATTTAACGACACGGTTCATATATTCTCGTACAGTCGAGTGTCTCAGTGAACCGCAAGAAAGTTATGAGACACTTCATTATTTGTGGTTGAATGTGGGTGGGCCAGGTCCGTAGACTTACTAGTGATAGATTTACGATCAACTTGAAGATCCTGTTCAGAGATTTGCCCCAAGATGTTGTTGTTGTTCGACTCAGAGAAGGAGTTAACCACACGAAGGTTCCAACAAGTTAAGAAACGGATGGATTTATGAGATGGAAGATCAGATTGGACTAAATAAACAACTTAAGGAACTGGGATCAGATTATCAAAAGTTCGGACGATCATTATTCCTCGTAATTGAAGATGTCAAAATACACCAGACTAATTGACGGAAGATGGAACACACAAAACTATAAAATCAGTCTCAATATTACCCTGAGATTCTACCTTAATAAGATACTCTTATTTAACACCAATTAATTGATAAAATTTATAATGAAAACCTTCTGCAAAAGATTCTGTCACTAATAATGTTCTTAAACCGATGTAAAACGGACGTACCGCTTCAAAGAGAATACTTCCTGTGACATATTTAAAAGTTATTTTATATTTTAGTAGATAATGACCAGTTAAGTGTAATCCTGAAATCTGAAACCAAATTGTATTTTTTCTCCTGTAACTGAAGGCATTTTGAGGTTATTAATTACCTGTAACTGGTTCTCAAAAGCTACGATAAGGATGGCGGGTCAAAATATGAAGAAATTCCTGCCGAGAGAGAACTACCCTACTGCATGTTAAAGGAGCTCTTCACTGCACCTCAGTTTTGGGAGAAATTCACTTTGAAAAATAAATAATTGAGAATCTGACCCCATGAATGGACAACACTCCAGTGATGGAAGTGAAACATGCCTGTATCATTAAAACACATTCTGAACAAACACAAAAAAGACAATAATATACTTCACTAAGGAATATATCACTACAGATTAGAGATATGACAAGGAGGAGGGGAATGTTACAGACGCATTGTCCTCAAAATAATCGCTTGTCACTTGTTCTTAAAAAAACAAAAGTGACAAAGATTTCTAATAAAAAAAGACACAAATTTATCCTTTATATGTTATAATGACAATATTCTTGAAATTCTTATGACTTGCAGCAGTGCAAATTCAACTTTTATTACACAACATTTCTTTACTGTTGTATAATCTATAATTTCTAATTTTTCTTGGCTCTATACTTTCTTATGTAATAAAACGCAAATTTATTTTAATCTACCATAGCACCAATCAACATCAAAGCATCTCTTGTGATTATCTGAGTTATGACAAAAATCTTGGTCATAATAAATAACAAAGAATCGACCAACCACCCGAATGGTTAATAAGCTGAGAAGTGATGAATGATAAACGAAAAAAAGAAAGATAAAAAGATAAACATGGAGTTGAGGTAACGATAACTTTGAGGAGACACAACAGTAGAATAATAACAAGATTGGTTAGACAGCAAAGGAGTATCACTGAAGACGAGGCCACCAACTATAAGCGATAACAATATGAGTCTTACTTTAAAATACTCATAATATAGATATTAATGGCTCTTATTTATAAACTTCCTCTAACTGATTGATGATTGAGAATTGATATTGTCACATAAATCTCCTCACAAAATATTATTAACGAATAGAGTGAAACAATGTACACAGAGCGCATGAGGGTTTCTGTCAATGTCCCACAAGTTACTGATGGACGTTTCTAATCAATTGTAAATTTGTATGACGACTGTAGTGAATAATTATCTATATATCTTTTAGTTGGTGTGGCAAGTGAGACACAACTTCCTCCCTGTGTTGATGCTAAACTTCCATATTCCATCTGCTACTTATATCCCTTATCTATCTCTGTGATCGCTTCATAATGTTAGTCTTGGTTGATTGACACAGTTTATTTATCCAATCAGAAGTACTGTAGTTATCCTTATGGTTCTATAATTTATTCAATTCGTGACCTCTATTCCTCGGCTGTCATTTCTACCGTCTCATGCTTGATACAGTCAAACCTGCACATCAACAACACGCAACGCAGCATCTCAGAATATTCTCCTGGTACTATAAGAATAGTACCACATCTCCTTTATGACAGTAGTTACTTTCCCTATAACTAAGACCATCAATTGCTTGCCGACATAAACACACGATAAACCTCATGAGTCAATAACAACATCGTTTACTGTTGACATTTTCTTTCCCTCCTCGATCAACGTGTTGCTCCAGTCATTATACAAAAAAAAAAGAAGAAAAGAAAATTCTCCTCTACATTTCCACTAAAGTTTGAGAACCATAGAAAAAATATAATCCAAGGGAGAAGATTTGTACCTCATAAGATGATTTCAAAAGGTTATTTTTGGAAGCTAATTTCATAATAAAGTTAAATGACTCCTCTTGTATTATATAAGTTACACCTGGTTTTAATAAGGGACCGTATATCAAATAACCAATTGTAAAGTATGTACGCAATTAAACATCACTAGTTTCTACAGTTGGTCGCTGGAAAAAATTAAACATTGTACAGTATTTTGTTAACTTCTTGACACTTCTCTTTGTTTGGATGGCCTGGGAACGACACGACAATCCTCTAACTTTAAAATCAAAATTATAATATATATATTATTGTAGCTTTATGTTAATGGTTATTCTTGTCTTCAGTAAACTTACGAATGAACACAGAAAGTTGTGTTTAATGACTGGCTAACGAGCCGATCAGCGGCAAAGAGGATAAAGGAGTCCTGCTTCCCCCATGGTTAGATATTTTCTTGACAACAACGGGAGATTAAAACAATAAGACCCTAAATACTTAATCCCGACTTGTGAGTTGATAAAATGCCAACTGTTGTAAGGTGGATCATTTGAAGGTAAACTGTTGAATAGTGAAAGTGAAACCAAAAACCATGAAAGTTCAGCGTTTTCAAATTCTTGGGTTGAAGCAGCCAATGCCATGATTATCAGTACAAAACAACATAAGACTAATTGGCCTCGATTAGCGCTACCAAGTTATTGTGGTCTTGAAAGATAGTACTTAACGTACACATGAATTATAATCCAATAAACTGGCTCTAGTATTTCTTCTCCCCAGTCACACTTAACAGTTAATCACAGTTACCAGATTTTAAAAGCCAAGTTGGTTTAAAGATTCAAGTGTTTAAGAGAATCTCAGCTGATAACTCATACAAATGTCATACAGATATTAGATTCGTTTTTGTTGTTATCAAGACTGATGCTATGGTGTTGGGTCAGGGTTACACGAGGTGCCCGCCACTCATGTTATGTATCCCACACAGCAGTTAATGTTAACGAAGAAGAGGCGAAAAATCTTCATTACATACACGCAAGTTAAATGCATTTGAGATCATCCAGTGAATGAGAAATACTTCCATTGTGTTTTGACATCCATGCAATTGAGTTTGACGTCCACGCATTTGACTTTAACGTTCATCTAATTGCATTTGACGTCTGCCGAATTGAGTTTAAAGTCCATGTAGTTGAGTTTCAAGTCTGCCCAGTTGGGTCTGGTCTGAACTCCTTACCATGACAGTGAAACAGTCTCACTTTACCAATAATGTTAAGAACCGGGTTTGAATTGCCATGGGTGACCCCTCAGGATCCTGATGTAGCCTGCCGGCAAAGGACCTGTGGGTGCTATAGGCCATAATCAAAGGACTCCCACTCGCTGAACTTGGAGTCCTGTTTCTGGAGTCGTTGCTGACAAGCCTCTAGGTATGAGTCATTGATCCGGTACATGCCAGAGTTGGCCTGGAACATGAGGGTTTCCAGGATGCGCTCATTCTTGATGGCCTTACTCGGTAACACAATCTGCAAGGTAGAAACACATTCTTAGCAAGGTCTGTTATTATATGTTCACACACACACACACACACACACACACACACACACACACACACACACACACACACACACACACACACACACACACACACACACACACACACACACACACACACACACACACACACACACACACACACACACACACACACACACACACACACACACACACACACACACACACACACACACACACACACACACACACACACACACACACACACACACACACACACACACACACACACACACACACACACACACACACACACACACACACACACACACACACACACACACACACACACACACACACACACACACACACACACACACACACACACACACACACACACACACACACACACACACACACACACACACACACACACACACACACACACACACACACACACACACACACACACACACACACACACACCTATTATTCTCTGAGCTCTCCTGATCCCATCATGCCCAAGTGGAGTCTGGATCCTCAATCTGATCTTAACCATTATGATCGGACCCTATTTCTAAGGGTTAGCTCAGGTTATGTTAAGCTGGGTTCATCTGTAAGGGTTAAGTTAGGGTGGGGTCCCATTTTTAAGAGTTAAGTTAGGGTGGGGTCCCATTTTTAAGAGTTAAGTTCGGGTGGGGTCCCATTTTTAAGAGTTAAGTTAGGGTGGGGTCCCATTTTTAAGAGTTAAGTTAGGGTGGGGTCCCATTTACCAATATGCACAGGATTTGACCAAAGAAAACCTGATGTAACAGCTGAAGTAACTAAAATTCTGGAAACAACACAAACCTTGATAAGATCCTGCGGGGATATCCTATACAGCTTCAGCTCCCGGGTCAGACGTTCCATGATACAGCGGAACTCGACCCGGGAATCGACCTTAGATCCGCCTTTAGTTTTGACTCGGTTCTTGGCCCAAGCTAACATTGCCTCGAACTTGGTGATCTCGGCCACCTCCAGGTTACGGGCCATCATCATGTGCACCATCGACTCAGACAGTTGCATGAAGTCCGGGATTTGGAACACCTGTAGAAAGAATCATTAATATAGAAGATGTCAAGTCCTACAGGAATAGGAAAGAAACACTAGTCCAAGGCTTTAAGGGCATGTTAGGTCCTACAGGAGAAGAAAGTCTGGGCTCTGAAATACCCGTACGAATGGTCCTTCAGATGTTAGGTCCTATAGCATATTGGATGATACTTAAGAGCCCTGAATACTATTAGCCCTCTCGTGGTCTTCTGATGTAAAATGTGTCACTAAGCACCCCTGTGTTGGTGCTACCCCTCCCACTCAGCCGTATCTCACACTGAGAGCACTTCTACAGCTAACCATCTTAACTCCTGTAAGCAGAGACACAGGAACAATGGACTGGCCCTACCATCCTACTAAGTTCCTCTCACTAGCCTTGTGGGCTGGGTGGTGCATCTCTAAGGGTGCAATTTGGGTCTGGATCACTCTACCTAATGTTTACTAAAATGGAAAAACTGTTCCTGTTACCGACCCAACTTACATAAAAAAACTTTGAGGGGTGAGATTTCCAACCATGGTTCTGAGTGCCAGACAGTTAAAGAAGATTAGATTCTGCTAAAGGGGATCAGATACCATTAAAAGGGATTGGATGCAGAAAAGTAAAGTGGATTATCTTATAGAGGATTAGATAAAAGGAGATTGCAGGTCATTATCAATGACTCGATGCTATTATAGAAGACTGGATGTTATGAAAGGAGATTGGATTCCATTTAAGGAGACTGGATACCACAACAGGTGATCAGAGCGAGAGCGATCGGGGACTCACCTGTACGGCGCGGGTCTCAACGAAAGCAAGAATCATGTTAACGAGTTCAGACGCAGAGGTGTAGCGCCAGTAGTAGTTCTCCAGGCTGCTTAACATGTTACACACCTGAGATAAAGATGAAAATAAGAGAAGATACAATAAACCACTTAAAATCATCCTAAACTCACCCCTTACCCCTTTAAATCACTCTTACCCTTTAAAATCACCCTTTGCTCCTTACAATCACCCTTAAACCCAAAAAAAACACACTCTTAAACCCCTTAAAGTCACCCTTAACCCTTAAAATTCCCATAAATCCCTTAATCATCATTTAACTTACCACTTCAATACGTAGGAACTGCTTGGCATGGTGGAAACAGGCCTGGAGTAGCTCAGGTAAGTCGTAGTGTTCGGCGGCGCAAATTAGCCCAGGTATGGAGGTACAGGTAAGCGGACAAGAGCCAGTATGCAGGTAGTCGAGTAAAATCCTGAGGGTGTCTTGCTCGAACTCGATGATTGTAAACTGGAGGTGGACCTTGAGTTAGGTGGGTGCTGAGACGGGGTATAGAAGGGGGGTGGGATGGGATGGGGTAGAGGATGGGATGGACTATAGAAAGGGTTTTGAATGCATTACAGATAGGTGGTGAAATGGGTTTGGGTAGGTTAAGTAGGGATAGGGTAGGGTTAGGGTAGGGTTAGGGTAGGTTAGGTAGGGTTAGGGTAGGTTAGGTAGGGATAGGGTAGGGTAGGTAGGGATAGGGTAGGGTAGGCAGGGTTAGGGTAGGTTAGGCAGGGTTAGGGTAGGGTTAGGGTAGGTTAGGCAGGGTTAGGTAGGGTTAGGGTAGGTTAGGTAGGGTTAGAGTAGGTTAGGTAGGGGTAGGGTAGGTTAGGTTGGGTTAGGGTAGGTTAAGTAGGGTTAGGGTAGGTTAGGTAGAGGCAGGACAAGTTAGGGTAAAGTATTTCAGGTATGGTTAAGGTGATGTAGGGAGGGTTAGGGTGGGTTGGTATGATTTAGTTTGATAAGGTTAGATTGGCTTTAGGTAGGTTCAGTGAGGTTATGGTAGGTTAGGATGGATTACATAGGGCTTAGATTGGTTTAGAGAGGCTAGAGCAGACCAAGGCGGATTGTGAAGCTTCAGAGAGAGAGTGAGAGAGGGAGGGGGGGGGGGCAAGGAGGATGAGGACTTGGCAGGGCAGGTCTATTGGCAATCTTAGGACACCATTATCTTTTTCACAACGTCTCTGATACGGGAAACTTATCTGACTATTACCAGTTCTACATTATTATGAAGAGTTAAATATTGATGCATTAGTAAGAAGTTCTATAGTATTTTTAATTCAGATCTTAAGACTTAATGAAATCAATGCAAGGGGAGATATGTAAGAAAGTTTTAGGTCTGTAAACTTTTGTTTACAAAAAAGTTAACTTTACTGTGAGATCATTATCGAAGTGATTTATAATTATGAAAAACAATCTTCATATAAATACACAAATATTCTCAAAGTTATACATTTCATATTTATAGGAATACTAAGTGATGTCCTCCTTCAAGATATCAATGAAGGTATAACAAATACTTAAAAAAAGAAAT